GGGGGGGGGGGGGAACAAACAAAAAATCAATAAAATCAGCCCTGGGTGATACATATGGGTGGAGAGTACTATGTGTGCATATAGAATGTAATTCCTAACGGGAAAAGTCCATGAAGTATAAAAAGGCATAAACTTTCTCCAACTCAGCATCTAACAAAGAAGCCACTAGTGGTGACCTCTAATTAGGTTATGCAGCTACTAAACATAAATATAGTTCTTTAATTTCTATAAAGTAAAACTCAAAAATATCTACACATTGTAGGCTAAGAATAGTCAGTAGAAAGAATATATAAAAATGAAATTAAAAACAATGAAAATATTATCTCTCACCTCCACAGAGGCAGCTCACAGAATCAGTGCTTGTACTTTGAACAAAAGAAAATCTGTACTTATATGCCCAACTAATAAGGGCTAAAAGATTAATTTTTTTAATTTCACACAATCTGTATTCAATTTTAACATATCCATATTAAAAAAAAAAAAAAAAAAAAGGTCATTTTTCTTACCATAATCAGTAACAAAAAACTCATACATCGTTTGATTTGTGCCAGGGTCGATTTCTGGTAAATCTAATTTGTTATCATATTCCCTAATGAAGGCTTCAAGTTTATCTCTGCTGTCCAACTCCAGAAGGGCACCTAAGCTCCACATTAATCCAAAGCTGAACAATTTATGCAGATGGAATATAGTTGATAAGCCGCCATCTTCTTTTGAGGGAATCAAACCCTCCAAAAGATTAATAGACTGAAAATATTTTTAAAATACCATTTATTAACAAAGTATTACATAACTAGATTTTTTTATAAAGTTACATATAAATAATATATGCATATGTATTTATTCAAGCTTTAAAATATATTTTTAAAACCGATAGAGGTTACTAATGAATAATTATAAAACCAAAATTAAGAACTCAGGAAAATACATTAAAGGCACCTGTATAAGCATGGGTTAAATTTCTAAAATTACTTAACAGTCAAGAATCCTTTCAAAGCCTACCAATATAAGACAGTTACCTAAAATCCAGAGTAACAGAATAGCTTTCTCATTTTATTTATAATGTCTAGCAAGATTCTGTACTCCATAAATGTACAGGTTTTAATGAAATAGTATAATTTAGTGAGACCTAGCAAACATATCACTGCAGGGAGCAAGTCTGGGAGAAATAATCRAGTTGAGTAAAAACTCTGATCTTGCAGTTTTTCTAAATAAACCCCAGTATCTAGAGCCACTAGGACTTGTTTACTTTATTTCATCCACCACAAACTTTCTAAAGATTCAGTAGAGGACAAATCTGGGAATCATTACCACAGAATAACATGAGTAAAACACTGATATGGTAACACTTCCATCAAACCCTCACTAGCAAAAGAAAGGAAAATTTTAATCCCAGGAAAGGTCTTCCATAAAGACAAAGTTCAGTTCAGTCAGAGGTTTGACAAAAAGAAAAATKAAATTAAAAAAAAAGTGCAGAACACCTGCACCATCAGAAACTCGCAAATTATACAGCTGCTCTACCTGTGGTCTTGAATTCTTGAGATATCCAAAACTCATTTGATATTATGCAGAGCATAGTTTTGTGGCATTTACTGAGGATGTTCATCTGAAGCAAAGTATTTGAAACTCTTGAAAATTTTGAGTTAAATCCATAGCAGACAATAAAGACATACCAGTTGCTAATTCACTAATTTACTGTGTGTTAGATAAAATATGACCTTGTCTGCCATCTTATTAAAGGCACTACTGAATTTGTTATGAGAATGCTGATAAAAAACAGGAACTACATGGACAAATGGAAAACTTGGAGAAAGGCTCTGGAGATTACAACTGATTCATAAACAGTACAGCTAAGGACCTGCAGCAAAGGACTGATGGCCTTGCAAAATTTGCCAAGAAAATAACCATTATTAATAAATCACTAATAAAGTGATTCTACTCAAAGCAGAATTCCATAGAAACTGATAGGAAGGTAGAATCAAACCTCCCAAAGTGGATCTTGGAAGAATCAATCCTCAAAATCATATCTATTACATCTATGATAAACAGATAATTAGAATTATTCTTCATTCTCTCCTCTGACAGTAGCATTAAACTGACCTTGGCTACCTTGGCTACAACTTATTTTGCATTAGAAGATGTCAAATAAGACCACAAACCTCCTGGACCCTGCACATGGTGAGCTTGGTTTCTGTGTCAGGAAACAATCTTTTTGAATGAAAGCTTGTTATCAAATACTCTTTCTGCTATTTTATATATGTACTATAGTAAGTTAATTTATACAAGCTTATGCAGTATTTGTTTACCTGCACAATGTAGTTACATTCCAAAAGCTCCATTTTTGGATTAAGGTTCAATTTCATATATGTATACGCTGGTTCAAAGATTCTATCATACAAACTTTGTAAAACTTCAGCTTCTTGAGATGAACGTTTTTTCAACCATGCCTAAAAAACATGCACAATATTCTTCTGTATAGAATGTAGAGCAAGGTAAGGTTAGGAATAACCAGCAGTGGTAATCTTACTTGCAATATTGGTCTCCAGCTGAGAGCAGAAGAACTGATGTAAACCATACCCATTCGGGAAACTGTTGCTGGTGAGGCATTCTCAATGTTGTGGACCTCAAACAAGAGCTTACATGTAGGAGACATAGGAATTCGATCTCCATTTGCCAGAGTAAGAGTCTTATTATCGTCCAAAACTGAATTTAGATTCTCAATCCATATCGCATCTACAGGCCCATCTAAAACAAGAAACACATTTTCCCCTGCAAAAACAACAAAAAGACACACAGTTCATATCTCCATGATTAAACAGCAAGAAAATAAGTTTATGAGAGATGCTTTGGAACTTACATAATACATTTTAAAATGTTCTTATAGTAATTCTCCCTATGATGAGGCATTCTGAGTGTCCAAAGTCATGAAATTTTTGCACTATTAGAGATGTCATTGTTACTAATGCTTTTTCTGTCATATAATGGAGAAAGAGTAGCAATGTTTTTTTTTTCAACAGCGTATTGTCCTAGAGCAAAACTCTATATGTTTTAAAATGAGTCACAGTGAATATGCAATACCTATCTTGGCATGTTATAGGAATAATACAAAAGTAACAGTAAGACAGCAACACAAGAATAGCCACAACTCCTGAATCTTAAATTCCATCGTGAGTTCAGACATTCTCAATTCATCTGCCACAAAGGCATCAYGAGTTATTTAAAATGAGTTACTTCTGTTGTGAATTGCTTTTCTTGGAGCATAACATCTCTGAGTGTTCGAACCTTTCCACAGTTGCCGCTAAGACATAATCAATTTATAAACACCTGTTCATGTGTATCTGTTCCATCCAGAGCATCTTTAATAAAAAGATTATTTTTTTTTTTTCAAATGAAAATGAACATATGTCACTGAAAAGGAATTCTGGTATTTTAATCCTCAAGTACTGAAATATGGATAGTCAAAGCATTAAAAAAATGGAAAAACATTATCTGAGCTAATGCAATTATAATTAAGTTTTATTGGTCTTAATTTAACAGTGTCCAAGTAACATCTTTGTAACAGCTTGAAAACTAAAATGGCAAGTAAACAGGGAATTTTTATCTAGATATAATATTATCATACTGAAATAATACATTTTGAAACTATTACCATTTATTAAGGAGTGGTTTGTATTATTATTAATGTTGATTCTTAATATATCATTCAAGAAATATTTTGATGCATTGTATGTACAAACCCTTTTTAGATTTCAGTGTTTTCCTCCACAGTGTAGAAAAGATTCCATCTGTCCAATCATTAGTTGCAGTATCTAGTCTTCCAAACATCTGAGGGGCAGTAATGGCTTTTGGGTTCATGCGCATTTCTCTGTGAGGATGCCCACATTCTGTCAGTGCTCTCATTAACATAGTTATGACAGTTGTTTTTCCAGATCCACTAGGTCCAAGTGTCATCAACCCATGGCGTACAAGAGAAGTCTCATACAACTATTAAAAACAGCAAGATATTTTGAGGAATATTTTGGAAATATTTCCCTTGCATTTTGTTTGTTTGATAGCCAGATAGTTTCTTGAACTAAATCTTAACTGAACTTTTTTTTTTTTTCTACAGGATTTACTATCTTGGCTTTTAAAAAATCTCTATTTTTCTTACGCTCTATCATCCCTACTGTAGTCTAACAAACTTCTACTCACAGGGCCATGTAGACTGTTACTTCTTCATTAAKGTTAAGGTACACTACTATATCTTAGAAAGATTGTGATAATAATGTGTTTTTAAGGGTTTTATTTTTCTCTCATATTTCTCTATAATCTAAAGAGGATTGGTTTTCCTCCGTATGATCTACCTACAAGTTTTGTTTTCACCATGCTAGCAGCATAACTCCTTGAGCAGGACAGTGGTTGGCTAACGACAGTGTTCTAACTCCTGTTTAGAAAATAGAGCTTAGGAAAGGAAAAAAAATAAAAATAAAATAAAATAAAGTCTACCTGAACAAGCTTAAGATTCCATGGAGGATGATTGATCAACCCTGCCTCTTCAACCTGATTGGCTACTGCAGCCTGAAGTTCTGCATATGTATTACTATCCAACTGCAACCCCGGAAAGAGGTCATTGATAAGACTCAGAAACAGAGGCTCATCTTCATCTACCTGAAATGAAAAAAATATATATATACACATAAATGAAGGCTGTTCAAAGAAAGTTCTCAAACTAAAATAAAATTCTGATAAGATAACATGTATAAAAATGCTTATGCTTATAAATGCAGCTAGACAACTGGCTAATTCACTAAGGAAACATCATTTTGAAAGAATCACCCATTTAAAATACCAACAGATTAGTCTCTTTCATCTTCATGGGCACTCTTCTCCTCCTGCCAGCTAACACTGCCCCCCTCCCTTTTTTTTTTTTTTTTTTTTTTTTAAAAAGGATCTAGCTGACTGCCTTTAAGTCTAATTTGAAAATTGCTGGTGTATATAAAGACTTTTTCATGTTAGACTATTATGACTACGGCACTTCCACTAAAGCGATGTTCATAATTTTAGACACATAACAATATATAAAAAGGTACTCATTTTATTCCCAAGGTATACAGTAGTTCCTTCTGTTCGTACAGACACACACACCCTAGATGCACATACACTAGTTCTTTCTGTCTGTACATTAACATTGTTATCACATTTTATTGCAGTAGCTGATGAAGCAAAAGTTCACTGGAAGAGGTAGATGAAGATTTAGAAAACTTTGACAAATGGCTATTACTTATGTGGAAACTATACTCAACATTACCAATTTACTTCATCAGTGTAAGAATTGCACTGTTGGCAGGTACATAAGCATGCATTGTTGAGCAGGCTGACTTTAAAATACGTAATAGAATGGATATTCCCAGTATTCAGTTTATGGTATGGTAATCATTCTGTACACAGGTACTTCAGAAAAACGTAACACCTTCTGTCACTATTAACCTATTCAGAATCTCTGTAACCTAAACACTGTTTTCAAGTTTATTAAAATCACAGTGCTGCTAATCATCACATGATTATCATACTTCAAGTTTTAAATAAAAGTTAGCTTTGTGATTTTTTATCATCTACATGTTTTACCATTCTACAAAAACTCTTGAAGTATCTAGACCACCTGCTTATAAACAATATAAAATATATATTTTTTCCTTACCAGCTTAGAAAGATTCATATCTCTAAGTCCTCTCATTACAATACTTAATTCACTTTCATTTGGTCTGGCTCTCTTTTGAGATCCAAGAGTTCTCAGAACGGAAAGGATATTCCTCAGACCAAAGTCATAATGAACCTAAAACAGGTAAAGGCGGAAAACAAGGTTTATACATCAATTACAAGTTTTCCAGCTTTATTTCATCAGGATACCAAACTTTACTTTTGTACTGTATAGTTTAGTTATTCTGCTTAGAAAAGGTAGCTAAAATAGGACTTGCTACTGTTTAGGAATTATTCTATTTTAAAAAACAACAAATATAACAAGGTTTATGGGAGGAGGGTGGCAAGAGTGGGATTTTGTGTTTGTTTGTTTTTTCTTTTCTACTTTCATTTTTCTACTTAAAATCTCATTAATTTCACCATTAATAATGCCACATAGTTATATTGTGGCCTTCCACAACAGGGTTCTCAGGTATTTTCAACGGAGGCAGCTTAAAGCCCTAGTTGAAAACAGTGCCGTGGAGAGATCCTAATCCTCAGAAAAAAGTGCTATAACTAAATTTTTCCTAGCTGCAGCCTTTAGGCAGAGAATCTCAGACACGTATAACTACATACTATAACCATTTAACAATTTAAACAGATGTGTGCATATCACTATGCAAACATGAATTAACATCTGACACCTATGACACTTTAACAAGGTACATAACCCAAAACCTAAWGGGCTGTATTTTATAAATACCATGGCAAAGGGGAAGGAAATACATAACATTACCTGCTTGGTGAGCTGCTCCTCACAAAGTTTATAAAGAACAAAAAATTTCTGGGCCAAGATCACGTTATCAATAAACCCACAGCTTGCAAGCTTGACTCTCATAATTATCTGAAAAATAGCATTTTATTTTGGAAATTCCATTATTTTTCTGAAGATAGGTAGGCAAATCAAAATACCTGAATTATTTTAAATATATTTTTTTCTTTCTGCTCAGTCACTAATTGTACCTGTCTATCTGGAACCATCATTGAAACAGTCCTAAATTGAATTTTGAGATTTTCTGGTAGTTCTTGACGTCCAGCATATCCAGGATTCTGCAAAGGAAAACACATGGTGTTTCTTATTTACATTAGTTAAAAAAAATTCTTTTTTATTGTTCAAAAAATGTAGATTTATACATAAATTCTTTGATAGATTCAGAAATAAGATTCTTTGTCCACTAATGATTAATATCAAATTAGCTATCAGAAATTTACAGTTTTATGGAATAAAACACCTACTTGGTCAATTTCCTCTGGTTTATTCCTATTAAACACAAAATCAAACAGACAAAAGATAAAATAGAAAACAAAACATAAACAAAAGAAGCAAAACAAAAACAACAAACAACCCTCCCCCCAAAAACAAAAACAAAAAMACTTTTACAATGGTTAAGAAGCCTTAAGGGCAGCCTTGAAGTACGGAATCTGATTGAATGATTTATGGTCTCTGAATGAATCCTATCTGCTGAAAAAGAACCAGATGAAAATTCATAGTTCTCTTCTACAAATCTGTCTTTAATAATGGTTCAACATAATGCAGAGAAAAGTCTTTAACATTGACACACTGAAAACAAGACTATTGGATTAAAAAAAAACATTAATGTTCAAGAAAGTTTGACCTGTACATTTCCTGGAACATGCTGCAAATGTGAGAAATAATTCTGAGGTCAAGTTTGAGCTGCAGGCATAAAACATACCACTCTGGTACTGCAAAATCARTACTGAAGAAGTGCCAGCCTTGGAGATGGCAGCAATATGAGATGATTTCCTAAACACGATTAACATACTATGTCTAGAATATTTTGCATTTGAAGGAAGCAGTGTAGAAAAGAATCTTCCTCAGAGAGAGGAAGAAATAAAGCCAAAATCAGTTAGTATTTAAAAAACATAAAGTAGCCAAAAGAAATTTTTGGACACCTCTCTTTTTATCCTGTTACTACCCTATCATTTTTCAGATGAAGACATCAATTTGCCATAAAGTTATGTTGGATCGCCATCCACTTCGATGGCATTAGGAAATATCCACTGTAATTCCCTTTTCACAAGATAACAGAAACTGTTACTATGAAGCTCAAGAATCTCATGTTTTATTCTTGGTACAAAAACTTGAAAGTATCTGTTATCTGCATAAAGTACTCAATAGAAAAGACATTTCCCTAAAAAAAAGTCCTTCATACATGCCTAGATTTCAGAGGAGGTTTTCTTTCTTCCTTACAGTAACTTTCTCACTAATACTTTAAAGCATTTCATACTAAGTAGCAATATCTTTTAGTGTTTCAATCTTCTCTAATACCAGAGAAGGCCAGAATTCTGGACAAATTTGTAGCCTACAATACAGTAGCTAGGGGACATAATTCACTAAATTGTATGAATAATCTTAATGCCAATATTACAATATGCAGTTCATGAACAATCAAATTATTTATAATCTGGGGGTTTCTCAGACTAATCCCGTAGTGATTACGGTGGTCATGGTGGTAGTGATACCACCCTCTTATAATAATAAAATAGATACTTGGCCATATAATTAACTTTTAGATAGTGTTAATTTACCACTTCTCTGACATTATTACTATATTTACCATCGTAAGGAAAATTCCAAACTCCGGATTTAAATCTACAGTGTCTCCATCAGAAAAAATGAATTGTTTTTTTCTTTCTTTTCTTGCTGTTAAAATAATATAAATTTGTTGTGCTGCTACTGACAGGACAGGTAACTCAATTCGGTTGAACTCATCAAAACATCCCCAAGATCCAGACTGAGCAAGACCTAAAAGACATCAAAAAAAAAAAAAAAAAAATCTGTTCTTCTGCTTGCAAATTTGAAACTATGGACTACATGTATTTTCCCACACATAATGTATCATTAGACATATTTCTAGCCCTGCAATCAAATTGTAGCTCCTTTTAATACATCTGAATTTTTTGATATCTATATTCAAATTGGAAGCGGCTAATAGTGAAAAATAACCTGGAAAAAAGACTTTTGATCTCTTGGAGTATTGAACAGGCCTTTGACACATATCTTTCAGTGAATTAGAATTACAAGAGAAGGTCCTAAACTATCACAACAAAAAAGATATTTTCATTTTTTTTTTTTTAATTTGCATTTGGGAGTTCCAGCCAAGGTAACCCTCCCAAGYTACTTTTCACTTGCCTCTCAGATCATAAAGGTTAGAATTAAAAACTGAAATTATTTTTGGACTAACTGGATTTTTAAATAAAACATTGATCAGCATCAATGATCACAATAAACTAAAACCCACACCAAACTACAAAGTTTTCATGTAATGCTATGCAGTACTAACTGCATAGCACAGACAATGCTCTGTGTGGGTTTGTATACGAAAGGGGGGGGGGAATGGAAAGAAATACAGAAACACTACATTAATAACATTTTCATAAATGATTATTTTCCCAATTAATTGATTTGAGTTAGTAAMAGGAACTTGGGTATTTAGCAGCTGCTAAAAGAATTGCTGTCCCTTCAAGAGCATGTTCATGAGAAAATTTGAGGCAGCATTTTTTTTTTGGAGGACATTGAAGCTTGTCATTGAAATATGTCATCCTCATGTCTGTAGTAGTTTACATTCACATATATTGAAAGACAGTTATTCAGAAGTGAAAGATTTAACCAAATCATTCAGTGCATATTCCTATTACGTGCATAAGGTTAAATCACTTCAAAGTGCTTCTGTCATAACTTAAAATATTTTAAACTTAAAGTAGTTTAACTTGCAAAAGGGCAATATTTTTACTGATGCCTTTGGATACCTGTCAGTTATTTGCCTGCTAGAAAAATAAAAGAAATCTGAATAGTTTTAATTATTTTTCAATACCCRCATACATTTGGAAAATGGACAGACAGAAACCTCACACAAATCYTGTATCAGAGAGAGGATAACAGACAGAATAACACCTGAAGAAGACCTGCTCCTGTGAGCAGGAGGTGGGACTAGATGACCTGATCAGMTGATTCTGATTCTATGAAGTCTTACCTTTGAAAATTCTACCCAAACCTCTGAAGTCCATTTGATCTGAACAGTTAAAGACTACTACATATTTTCCTAGAGCCTTTCCCATGTCTTTCGTCGTTTCTGTTTTACCAGTTCCAGCTGGTCCTGCTGGGGCACCTCCCATATTCATTCCCAAAGCCTGAGCTAACGTTATATAGCACCTGTAAATGTTAATTCATATTATTAAGTAATATGAAAAATATATTTACATACATACATATAATAATAAGCTATGTGACCGATTCTACAGCTGTTACATCAAACCATTATTTCCTCATAAATCAGTTCCATTGATAGCACTGAGACTCCAGGAAGTTCAGAGGTATAAAAGTCATAGAATAAAAAATTAAATTATAAAGTAAAAAATATTTATCTTTATCTAGTTTGTTACGAAGTGTAACTATTACATGAACAAACACAGCMTTTTACACACCACAAAGGAATTTAATTATAATCCACAAAGGAATCTTTTTTTTTTTTTAAATCTACCTCCACAGGTAAAAAGGATAGATTCCTAACTCTGTTTTTGTGGGTAGGGAGAGATCTCAGCTGTGAGCTCAGTTACTAAATCATACTAAGCATGGGTACTGATAATATTTTTCTAGGAATTACTTATCATACAAATTACTAACATTCTATTTTACCTTTTTTTTTTAAAAAAAATTAGAGTATGATTAAGCAAATATATGAGATGATTTTCATTAATTACCAGCCTCACACAGATATTATTAAAGCATAATGTACCTCTCTGAAGATACTATGCCAAATAAGATACACATAAAAATTATTTATTGTAATTTTTATTCTAACCTGTCTGTAAGAGGTGTTATAACTAGACGATCAGTGCAGCCCAGAAATTCATTCTGGTAAACAAAATCAACATCTGTAATGGATACCAAGACTTGATCGAAATCCTCCTTAAAATAGAATCTACACTGCTTTAACCATTCAAAATCAGTTGGCGATTTGATGTGCATTTTTACCTTTAAGAAAGTAAACAGATGTATAAGTTATATCTGAGCACAGTTCTATTGTCCTTGATGATATGATAATCTGTATTATGAAAATTCAGTGACTACTCAAGTTTTAATGTAAACTGAAATACATTGAAGAATTGCATAGTAAGTATGGATATACGCTAAATAAATGATTGAGATATTTGTTAATATTCAAGTGAATAAGTCTTCCTGTTAAACAAATAAATCTTAAATTGATTTAATAGTACGTCTAATCTTCCAGGTGAAACACTCTATCAATCCATCCAACACATTGGGACAAATGGTTTGATAATGAAATAAGGAATCTGAGGAGGGAAGCCTGAATTCAAATTATGTAATTTGAATTTTGGTAAAGTTGTTCCAACAACAGGGAGAGGAAAAAAAAAAAAANAAAAAAAAAAAAAAAAAAAAAAAAAGAAGGATGTCACATTAAGAGCTGTCATTTCTTAAATTAAAGGCATCACTTGATGTTTTTAGCAGATCTTTCTGTTCATCCACCATGTATTCTCCAGAACCAATAATAAAATTCTAATAAATTTTTCTCCAAAGTAGGACTGGCATGAAGAAGAAAGCAGGAGAGACAGATGATGTTGCTTTCATTGTTGTCACTTTACAATGTGTAGACCTAAAGTTCAAACTAGTGGCTCCCAGGCCTGTTATAACCAACTACTGAGGTTCTCTAACAAGCCACAAGGAAATTTTATGTGATAAACCACAACATGTAGTGAGACTTAGCTTTCTAGCTATATAATTAATAAAACAACATTTTTTTCTTCTTCTTTTCTCAAAGAGGGGACATACTGAAAGGTTTTCATTTTCATGCAATTTCATTTTCATGCAAAGAATTGCAAACATGCAATTCTTTAAGAAATAGAGAAATATTACAGGAAAACTGTAAAAATGTACTGTTTTTACCACAGTAAGACTCTACAATTCTTTATCTTATAAACATTTAACTGTAGCTACCATTTATGTAAAAGATTATTATTATGACAGAAAATGCACTTAATTTTCAGAAATCAAAAGCAATACTTTACCAAATCGTCAAAAATATCACGCTGATGTACGTGAATGGTGACAAGCGTTTCAAATTTCACTCTGTCAAACTTGGAAAGGTCATGTGTGGTCTGGCTAATCAAAGTATTCAAAATATCCAGAAATCTTGCATTGGTTACTTGCATGATTTTTCTGTCATCTTTAGCATTGTGCAGAGCCTCTTCTGCATCATGTGTCCACAACATTTGAAGTCCCAATAATCCAACCTACAAATTTAATATGTGAATACATAAAAGAATTCTTCGTTGAACACCAGACTTGCTATTAATTCCTGTGGTACAAAAACATTATGAAACCAAAGTATCATCGAATCCAGAAATGGTTATTTCAGGATGCTAAGTTAAATAGTTCTGCAGTGAAACTGGAAACACCTGAGAAAATATTTATAATCTTTTATTAAAGTTTATGTTACACAGGCAAGTTAAGCCCAACTTTCAGTTTCACTTCCAGGTCATTAAAGTACTCCAGGGATATAAACACAAATGCTCTTAGTAATAGATAAATAACAGAATAACGGAATAACAGATCAGTAATGAGAAAAAGAAAAACAATGTTTTGTACTATATTTCTGTAATATTCTGCACAGTTTCTGTTGTGTTCCAACATCTTTATTCTCAATGCTTGAAATATCTTCACTCAACCACATTTTCTTCTTCTATTTCTGTCCCATATCTCTTTACTGCTCTTAGCATAGTTAATTCATTGAACGCTTTTTTTCCTTCTTCTAATACAATCATAATCAGAAAATATTTGCATTGGCAAGTCATGGGAAAGAAGATCTCTACAGATACTAATTCATCCTCTTTTAAACATTTGAAAATCAAAAAAATGGTTCTTATTTATTTCAAGTAACAAACTTCTAAAATAATACTTTAAGGTAAAACAGAATTAGGCTATAAATACACACATAGAAATACTAAATATTATATTACAATACATAAAATAGAGGCTTTAAAAACATATACGCATTAAATGATTTACATATTAAAGAGGTTTAAACCTCCTCAGAGAAAGTGTAAGATAGACTTTATATTCCCCAAGAAAACACAAAATAATTTCGAAGTTGAATTATAATAAAATATAATTAAATTAAATATAATAAAAAGAATAATTATGCTTTATACAGATTACCAAAATTGAAGTTAGAATAGTTGCATGCTACAAAGTAAATCCATATCCTTTTTTCCTCCATTTAGCTTCCCCAAATAAGCCTCAGTTTACATGCTCTTTACGCCCCACCTACTCCATCCCAGAATACACACATAAATCTACATCCTATATTATTACCTGTGCTGGGAAGTGATTAAGAAAAGTCAGCAACTGATATCCAGGGTCACTAACTTGGTAATATGCTGCCCTAATTATGGCATGTAAAGAATTCTGCTGCACACGCAATAAATCTAGCAACCAAAGCTCTACTGGTCCTTTTGCAATCACTGGAGTGTCCAGCTGAAAAATTAACATAAATAAAAAGTACATAGTTACCAAATATATCCTCAAGAGTATTACTTATCAAATAGTTACTAAATTTCTATTCAAGAGAAATACAGATTTAATTTCAATAAACATGAACATTTGTTTTATCACATAGACCAATTAACGATAATTTAATATATACATATTTAATAATAACATGATTTATCTATTAACATTGTTATCTATTATTATCTATTAACATTTTGAAAGAAATATAAGAAATTTAGAGAATTACTGTAATTTTTTCTCCTTCTCTTGATATGACTGCCATTATGCGATCATAATCCTTTGGGTGAAACTGTACTTCATTTATATTGTCAGATATGGAGGGCAGATGTGGCTGTAAAGACAATTAAGATATTATTCAATGTAATAAAAATGAATTTAAAAAAATGAAGTAATGTTTTCTCACAAAGGTAATTGAGCCTCAGGTCATTTGTAGGTTATAATTACAGACATGTTGGTATAGCACTGTAGTATTTGTTATAGTTTCCACAGCAGAACTAGCAGATCAGATTGTATGAGATGAATCATTATATCTCAATCAACTCCCAGTAACAAGCCAAATTAAATTAAATTTGAAATATGTAAAGAGCAATAGAAGGTAACATACGAGGCTTTCTCTTAGTTTGATTTTGGAAGCACAAAGCTCCAGCAAATCATGTGACAGGACAATATTCTAGAACCTTGAATTCTGTACATTTTTTAGATTACAGATATCCATTTTGTATTTAAAAGACTAAAGAGAGAAATAAAATTTCTCTTCCAAGTAAAAGCTAAAGAAAACCACCATATTTTAATCCATATACTGCTTTTCCATATTTTAAAATCAAAATCACTGAAGATATACCTGAATTGTGTGAGAATCACTTGCTTGTCCAAGAATTTCAAGAAGGGCAGGATCAGAGACAAAAAAGAATCTTGGAAAGAGTAGCCTTTTCTTCTCTAAGTACCTTTAAAAATGAACACAATTTTTATTAGAATATTTCATCTCTATATTTTCAACTTAAGATGGAAAATAAGATTGAACTATTAAATATTTTATTTTCTACAGGTGTAGTATTTAAAAGATGGGCACATGCTAAAGTCACCCCTGGGTGCAGAATTACGCTCACAGTTGAAGCACAAAATATGCTGAATGTTGGAATAATCTCTGTAACCACGAAAACTGAAGTAAAAATCTATGATTTTGTTTAATGTATACTTTTAAATACTTGTTTAATTGTTTTAATGAATATGAATAGTAAACAGTTATCGTTGCTTTGCTCTCAGGCCTTGTCAGGTAGTTTGGTAACTATCTAATTTTACCAAAAAGAATAAGTAATAATAATAAACCAACTGCAATAAATTCTTCCAAGTATATAAACACAGTATAAAMACACATTTCAAACTGTTCTGCTATTGCTAGACCCTGAAGTATGTTATTCTGAAGCAAGTGGAAGCTATATGTATAAACTGGAGAAAGCAGATTCCTTCTCCAGATTTGTATTTAAAAACATTTATATGGTTAGCTTGTAACAAAAGTGAGATAAGTTTATATAAAGTATTCATGAAATATTAAGACATTAAAAATCAAACAATTCATACCCTGTAAGTGATTTCTGACACACTTCCAACTGTTCATGTAAATGAGGGAGAAGCTGCCCCATAGTCTCATCTCCAACACAGCAGTTGATCACATTTGGGTTTTCATGTGCTCGTTGCATTATTTTTATCCATGACTTGTCAATATTCTGGAAACGTTTTGCTTCCTATATATGATTAAAACATTAGTATTTTCCCAAAACAATCTTTTGGAAATAATTACAGTTTTTAATCCCTAAGAGAGAAGTATTGTAAATTTACCTGGGGTAACTGCTTTGCAATATCTCCCCCTACAAAAACTGCTTCAAGGTAAACCCACAGGTTCTGCACAACCAGCCATTCTTCAATTATATCAGTAGAACTGCTTAGTTTATAAATCCAGCTCTGAATTTCCTTTTTAAATGGTGCATTGTATCTAAAAATCAAAGAGGGAAAAGAAAAATATTTAATTCTAAAGGAACCTATTATAAAGTAACCAATTAAAAAGTTTACAATTGTGAAAACACTTGATTCACTTGAGAGAGAAGAATCTTCTAAAAAACTTTGTAGCAATCTGTTTATATTGAAATATATTAAGATGATAGATTGTTATTATCACATGAAAGTCTGCCACCTGAGGGAAGTTCTTGATCATCTATTGTAACTTTTAGCCTTTTTAATTTGAAGGATAAGATTCCACCCACATTTACTGCTGATTAAGTCTAATAAGACAATTGCTATCTCATGATGTTTGTAACCAACATTCAAAAATTCCTAAAGTATCTTTTTTTTTTTTTTTAATTACCTGTTGCTGAGTAAAGAGCCAAGAATCATTAAACTGTCCTCCATTAAGGTAATTATTTCAGATGATTCAGTTCCCTTTAACAGTAGCTCCCCTCTCCCTTTGAATGACGAGAAGCTCAGAACTTGGCCTCCCCAACTATCAATTATTTGAGACAGTTTGGCTTCAATATCTTTTTCCTTTGTAGCAGATATGCATATATCCTGCAAAGAAAGGACTGCTTTTAGAATCTACATTCCTCAGAAATAAAATCTTTCCTAATATTGCATGTCAAATAAGGGAGTAATCAAAAACAATATACACAAAAATTATTAAGCAATATAGATAGGTGTCATACAAATGCAGAGAACACGACTAGTTTTAATTTAAATCTCACTGAAACGAATATGTATTGAGTATGTATGAGTATGAATAACTGAAACACACTTCAAAATAAATACATATAGACTGCATTTCTATGGCTTCACATTTGCTATTCCTGTAGAAGTAGATTTCTGAATCATCATTTCATCTTTTTTGGGGACAGATATGGATTCACTTTCACATGAACAATCAGTCTCATCATGTTTAAATTTACAGAATTGCAACAATTTAGGCCTCCAGAGGTCAAGTCATCTAATCCAATATTCTATTCAAAACAGAGCTAAATTGAAAATTAGATCACCTTGTTTTAGGTCTTATGCTTGTAGTTTAGGCAGATGCATTTGCCATAAAATCAAATTATGAGTATAATATCATCAACATGTATATTTACCATATAGAACTTTCCAAACTCTACTCCAAATTTTGTTCAGGATATGTGGGAAATATTTTGAAGACACATGCTTTAGAAGATGATGTCCAGGAAATTATTCACATTGTATACAAGAAGCACAGAGATTCACAAGTAAAATTTGTGATTTGTTTACAAACCTTTAAATCAATTCCTGAATAAAATTTAAATAGCCATGATCATCTGAAATTGTTAGAAAACGAAAAAACAGAAAAAATAAATGTACAAACCTCAATATCATCTTTATGTTGAAGAAGTGGTGCTTCCATGATGTTTCTGAGGCAAAACGTATCCGATTCTATATCAAACTGATGTCCTGTTGTTTCAGCTATACGAGTCCAGTGTCTCTGCTTCATTGCTTTGTTAGTCATCATTTCCAGTAAAGGACAAGATTCACTGAAATCATCAATTCTCTTCTTGAGATCTAAAAACGCTTGCCAGTTTTTGAGTCCTTTAGGTAGTTTACGGCACCTTTAATTGAATTAAAATTAATATAATAGTAAATGCCACATTTACCATAATGGAATATAAAAATATAGGATTTTTAAAATCGTTCTCAAAAGAAATGAGTTCTTTTTTTWAATTTGTCAACTTAATTTTTGTTATTTTTATTTAGGTATGAGAAATGTAACATTTCATGCACTATTAAAGAGTTAGCGTGGGATTCAGTATTTGAAGTGTGGAAGTTAGAGGTTGAAAATCAGCAGATTTTTAATAGTTATGTTCAAGTCCAGCACTCAGAACCTCATTTCCCTTTACACAAGGACAAGATACTACAAATTAGATTTGTAGGTTTGTCGACACTATGATTCTTTAAGACAATCTTAGTCTGTAACCTCCAATGTGGGAGAGAAAAATCCTCTTTAGTAAATATTTCCCTAAAAAGTTATTCACCCTTGGTTAATGTTTGCCTTTTATGAAATTCATAGACAATGCAACAATAAGACCCAGCCTTCAACTCCGGAAGTCAAAAGTGCAATTCCAAAGTACGGAAACTCTTCACTTACTAATTATAGGCATCGGAACAATGCATTTGATGCAACATATAGTTCACACAAACTCCAGAAAATGAGATTATGTTTTCCACTTGGAGAAAATATTTCTTTTTCAGAAGACAAATTATATTACAATTACTTACTAAACAGCCATAAGGTCCTGAACTAGAACTAATAGACAGAAAAAATGCACAAGAATTTACTAACGTTTTTTTCCTCACTAGTCATGTACATAACTGCCCTACTAATATTGCCATGTGAATAACCTTCCGGAGTAATTTAATGCAGCATTTGCTGACCTCAATACTCCAGTAATTAGACATTATCATTAGATTATATCATTGACTTATATTTCTTTAATAATCTAGAATTACACTATGACTGCAATATAGATACATTCTAAAAGACTAAATGTTGGCACAACAAGTGTATCAACTGTCTATTTATTCTGGAATATTGTAAAGAGAGATTTGTTCTAAGAGGAACACTGAGGGGAAAGAAATGCAAAGAAGGTTAATTTTTCAAATGGAGCTTGCCAAATTTATGAACAGGAGTATATAATGTAGAAGGAAAGAAGATTGTTCTGTGAAACAATCCCCGTCTTATTCTTCTGTATTATATTTTTTCCCAAAAAACTAGTAAAGACAGTTTCTCAAATATTAAAAATGGAGTTAAACTAAAAAGTTAGAACATACTTTTGAATCAAACTAATTGCATCCTAATCCTTTCAACATCAAAAACACCTTAAGCTTGAAAGCTATACTGCAAAGATTTTTTTTTTACACAGAATCTGCTATATAAGACACTAGTCATTAAGTATTTCAAATAGCAGAAATAGAATAAAATATTTCAGAAGAACATTATTCTTGAATTCTGCAATTAAACTTAATGAGTTAATACYCCTAGTTGAACAACTTCCCTTTTCCAAATAAGCTTCTTGCTATTTTCTGGCTGAGTTAAGGAGATATACTCTTGAGGTTATCATACATATATCTACCATACAACTAGAGTTAAAAGGCTAGTTAGCTAAAATTATAGTGAGATTCTACTCCTCATTAAAGGAGGATTAATTCATGATAAATATTATTTGCGGAAAATTTCTATTTAAACATATATTCAAAATATAAAAATAAGTAAATATCTTTGTTGAATTCACCTAACTCTTACTGAATTTTAGATCAGTTATAGGTCATTTTATGAACACACCTGTTTTGAAAGTCCAGAAGCTCAGCATTAATTTTTTCAATATCTACGTCTGTCCAAAGTATCTCATAATAACCACTTATGTTGTTCATTACAGTATCATATAAACCATACAATTTCTGGAGCAAGCCTAACTCCTTCCTACAAGAAACATAAATGTATTAATAAGTTATGAATAAAACATGTTAAAAAAAAAAGGTAGACAGCTTATGCTGAGGATCCAATAGCCATACAAGATCTATGTTTTATTCCGATTTAGTTCTGTAAAACTTTTATTTTTATCCAGAAATGATCTTGTTTATGCACCTAGAGCTACCTCTGTAGTGACAAGCAAAGCATGACAGTTGGGTACAACTGGTCTATTTACTTCATAACCACACTCCRGATGCGAATTAAAGTGTTAATGTAAATACACCCATAAATAGTCATATTTTTACTCAGTCTGAACCATCGAGCCATGAAAAACGAATAGTGCAGAAATTTTAGAACTCGATTCTCATTACTACATCTGCTCAGAAAATTTAATTTTCATAGATCTCCAGTTACATATTGCATGCATGTTGTTATGCAACCCTCTCTTCTTTTCCTTGTTTGTACCATATCTTATTACATAATACTAATTTATTCACGTACTTTATGGGTCTATTTCTATGCTTTTTTTTTACTTTGATATGTATATCAAAGTAAATATGTATAATAAAAATATGTATAATAAAATATGTATATGTATGTAAAAATATGTATATTTTTACTTTGATAGTACTAAGAGCAAAATTTACTAGTATAGCTCTGTTCATTAAGTAAAATTGCTCTCTATCAGCATTCTTTAGGCATCTAACGTTCTATTGCTTTGAGGGGGTGCATTCAAATTAAGGCACTAGAAAACTTTCCTACTGCAGCAATTTCCTCTTCAGTTTATCCCAAGCCTTTATAACTCACTGAATAAAAACCTTAACAAAGTGCATTTCGATAGTTACCTGACTTTATGTAAAACTTCATAGTCTGTGACAGGTAATCCAAATAACTGTTCACCTGAGGAGTATGTGATAAACTTTCTCCAGAGTTCATCAAAATTAGCCTGATAAAATTAAAATTCATAAAGATAAACTGAAATAATTTTTTAATTTTTTTATAATAATAAATCATTGACTAGTTCTGAAATTGTCTTAAAATAATCCTATTATCCTATTGTCCTTAATTAAGACAAAATTGTCTTAAAATAATCCTAGGGACATATTTTTTATACCTGAAAAATACTACTAATCTAGCATTTTTGAAGCATTAGTTATGTATATAGTACTCGTATCTTGAATTCAGCTAGTGAACATGTATGTAACAAGCAACACTTTGAAGAAACATTTTATAAAAAGAGGATGTTCATTTAAATCCAAAAGGAATTGTCAAAAGGAGAATAGGAGATATGGGATCAATAATACAGAGAAAGGGAATAATTATGATTTGGGCAATTACTATCCATAAGTATAAAATATTTTCTTGCCAGAATTAATGAAATATGTCTGAACATCAAATCCAATCTAAAATACTCAATTTTCAATAGGTCAGATTCAATGTAAAATTTGAGCAATTTCTGTCCATCTGCTAGTTCTTTTCATTAACTTTCAATTTACTTTTCACAGAGTCAAAGTCAAAAAGTATGCAAGACACTAACAAAAAGTCCTGTTGAAAAAATCTCCAAGTTATTATAATTCACAGAGAAGCGAAGAAATATATTAAGAAGAGGCTGTTGAATCATAAACTTAAGTTCATAAAGAAGTTGAAAGGCACCTATTAGATGGAAAGTGTGATATCTACAAGAGGAAAGCAAGCAAGTAATTTGATTTTCTTTCAGTTATTATCAAGCAGTACTTCACTATTCCCTGTTTTACTGCTCTAATCATTTCAAACATGCAATTCCTGCTCACACAAAGTGAAGTATGAGGCAACATTCATCCTTCCATCAGTCCCTCCACACTAAGGAAAGCCTTGCCTCTTAAAAATTAGAATGAGTTTAACAGATGACTACACAAAATATCCATCAAAATGTACTTTGGTTAGTAGGTCTTACTGTTAATAGTTCTTTTTCTGACTTTGTTTTGATAAAACAGTGGATCTGATTTTAATTACTGAAAATTTAGAAGCTTATTTTTTTACCTGAAATATCTGTAGCCTATTACTAGCTTCCTGAGGTGGAATATTTGGAACCATGGGTCCTTCCTTTTAAACAAAAAGTTAACAGAAATTTAATAGTAAGTCTCAAGATGACCAAAGGCACACTATTTATTTACAGATCATCAGAAAATACACTTTTTTATATAGACAAAAATCAGAGTTATATATCTTGGTACTGYAACAGTTACTGTTGTGAATCTAAGAATCTAAGAAAAGACATCTTCTATAAACTTCTATAAAAAGAACTTTTACAGAAGAAGTTTAAACTTCTTTATCTTCTATAAAAAGAATCTTCTATAAAACTAAAAATTCAAGTTAGTTTACTGTCAGTAGTCAGGGGATTATTCTTTCATATTGTTTTTGTTGAAAACAAAGTATCCCATAAGTGGCTTGAGACAATCCCCGTAAATGAAGTGTGATCAAAGATGCAGCAACATGTACAAAGAAGTTTTAAGAAAAGTTTTTTGTCTCATTAGAAGTTGATCATGTTTCACCAGGGACCCTTATGACTTTTTTTCCATTGATGTTTCTTCAGATTGCACAAAATTTTTTTGTGAATATAATTGGTGAGATTGAGAACAAAAGTGCAAACAGTTGCCATTTGGAAATGGCAGATTGTGTGATGATTATACTACAGAAGTAGGAATTACGTTAAAAAAGCCCATTAGTTTTACAAAAGTGCTCCGCATATCAGTATCAACACAAGCAACCAGCTATTCTCAATGTCAATGAAGGTATATTTCAAGAATTTATAAAAGTGTCTAAGAGAAAGGTGCAACAAAAATTCCCTCAATTTCTTTCATCTCTCCCAGCTCTCCACAAAACAATTATGCCCACACATGTATGCAACCAAATGGTGGTTAAGAAGCCAGGCTCTTCAAAAGAAATGTCTCAAAGAATCACAGTCAATTACACAACTTCCCTTTAAAACATGTCTGCAATGACCACGGTAGTAACTTATAAGAGAAGACTCCTTTATTAATTCATTTAGAGGATTTTTGACATTTCTGAAGTTTATGTGGCATTACAAATAGCTGATTTTTCAGGAAAATTCTCTTGSAAGATATACAAAGGCAGATATCTCTGCTAACAATAAATAAACAAATAAAGTAAAATTAGGCTAAAGTAATTTCAGCTAAGGAACTCCTTTACAGGACCCAGACAATGAGCTCTATGACATGATTGTCCATAGTGGTGATTGTCAGTGTGCTCACTGAATAGCTCAGCTCTACTACCACGCTCCCAAACAACACCCAGGTGCAGCCAAGGGGATTTCACAGACCTGAGACTTTTCCCTGGGAGTAGTATGGAAAGACATCCTCTTCTCAAGAGGAGAGCTCTTCCATACACACATGAATCATGCCACAGTATATGCCTCAAGGCCAGGCAATGGTCCCAGATCTGTTTTATTTTCTTGTAAAGATGAATCCAAGGAGTTTAAAAAGGAATTTCACCCATAACCACGACAGCTTAGCAACAAACATGCATACGAGTAAAAAATTGATGCAAGCCAAAAGTATGGCAAAACTAAGCACAAATCTTACAGACAGCTGCTAAATTCAGTTACCGTTTCATAGGACGATTCAAAGTTCGACACATCCTCGCGAAAAATTGCAACTGACTCTAGTAGGTTACTCTTAAATTTGGGCTGAACTTGAACCAATTCATCTTGAACAAGGGACTGTCATGCAAAAGATCAATGATCAAAATTACTTAAAACTAGGAATATATATTTGAATTACATATAAACCAAAATCATTACAGAAAAAAGTATTAAAGTTCTGAATAGAAATGAATAGTCTTGGGGATACACAAAGTATTATTTTCTTACATAATGGCTCGCCTTCAACTTTGAGATGTAAAGTGTAAAAAAAAAAAAAATAAAAAGGAAGAACTCTCTCTTCCCATCATTAAGGGAATACTTTTCTTTGAAAGGRAAGAGTGAGAAAAAGGAAGAGAACAGAAATTTTTCTGTCTTCTRCGCCTTCAGAAAAGCCTTCCAAAAAAAGATTCAGGCAAAATTCAATTCTTAAGCATGTGAAAACATAGAAACAGCAGAAACAGTGRCATAATTAATTTCTTATTATCTTACTGCTTTAACAAATATATCTAAAAACTACAATAATATTCTAAATACAGTTCTATAAAAACAGAATTAGATCACGCTAATCAAAAGAATAAACACTGGTGGTCATCTGATGCCAAGAGTAAGATGACAGACTTCAGTGATACCTGTCACAGTAATAATCTACAGTCTCTTTTTACTCTGAAAGAAAGTCAAAGATAAATGGAAAATAAGTTTCATATACTTACAGCTTTGGTCTGTAACTTATTAAAAGAATATCTAAGTGTATCAACCCCTTCTGATTCCTCTTTTGTAACCTCAATTTCAAATCTGTTTAAAATAGCATAGGCTTCCTAGGTGAGAAAAAAAATCCTTAGTAATGATCCATTTTACATTTGCAGAAGCACAGACTATTTTGTAAGAAACCTTTTAAACAAAGGTTAGCATAAGCAAATTTTTTTTTTTTAGAAAGAATGCTGAATGTAGACAAACTAAGACACAAAAATAAATTTTAAAAAACTCCATATCTTACTTCAATAGGTCCCAGAGTCATATCCATTTGTATTTTATTGTCACGTATGTCAGATAAAGCTTCCATTGCAAATCTGACATCATCTAGGTCACGGAGAGGTCGAGAAAGTTTCTTTAAATACTCAGTTATGAATGACATCATATCTGTCATTTTCTTTTTATATTCCTCATTTAAATAACGACAAAGRAGCATCTTCCATGCTTTGGCTTCAATTGACAAAGCTAATTTCAGTGGTCCTGATTAAAAAGAAAATCATTAYTCTATCTACATCTTAATTTTTTTTTTCTAAGAAACATGTCTAGGAAACATATGTAAACACATAGCAGTATATATCATTCTTTAACAATAATTAGAAAATATCTGCACAGATGAAATCAAACTTTTTCATTTTAAAACACACTTAAATAGGATATATTTAAATATAACTTTTATTATATATTACCCTGCCTGTATAACACATAAGTAATCTTATGTAACAGACAAAGAAAAGATGAATAAAAAAGCATGCTTCTTATTTTAAAATCTCAAAAAAGAACTTTCTTTGATATATATTTACCAACTGCACTAAGGTCATTGATATTAAAATGGTTTATACTAGTTGAAACAGTATCTTTGGATTTCAACAGTGGCATCTGGCACACTGTAAGTAAAATCTAAGTTGTCAAATCATACCATGAACATTAAAATATACATAAATTCACAGCAAAGAGAAAGCAAAGCCTACCATTAACACATCACTAGAAATTAGGATTTCACTAGACAACATTTTTGCAGTTCAGTGATAGAAACATAACAACTGAGTATAACCATTCTCTTCTCATACACGCACACAAAAAATGCCTATAAAGAAAATGCATTTTCTTCTATAATAATTAAGCTATCAGAATTAAAAATTTGATTCTGAAAGGCCATAAAATGGTCATGGCTATTCATCTGAAAAGAGGCTTACATTGATAAGAAAAGGATGCTGGATATTCTTATGCTCTTCCTACTGTGTGTGAATATATATTTATGTATTCATGTATAAACATTTATACATGCATATGCATAAAATGCAAACATTTTCAACATAAGTCATAACAGTATGCACAAAACACTTTTCAACATAGTTGATACTTTTTAATTCCATTTATTACCAAACGGCATCTTGCATCAAAATGTTTCCCAAGCAAAAATACACAGTTCATGAAGTTTCCTTTAGAAAGCTTTATATTGTCGCTTTTTCATGTAACTGACTATAGYTCAAAACAACTGCCTCATTCATCACCTGTGCGTCTCCTCATACCTGTCTCAATGACCATTTCACTTGTGTTCTCTTTAAAGTTTTTTTTTAAAGCTTAAGCAAAGGTCCTAGATGTGTTCTAATTCATCTTTGTATACTTATATTTTCCTGAACATGAACTTACATAATGACAGTATATTTTCATTATTTTATTATGCTCAGGTTTTAAGTCCCCATATTTTATCCTTTTTACTGTTACTGACCCTAGGCAAAGAAATTCATTTTGCTCTGTATAGTTTTTAAGTCCTTTTTCCTGAAAATTTGCTTTACTTACATCCTATTAAATTACATTAATAACTTAAAACCCTCCTTTTAATGAGAACTTACATTTCTCAGTACTAAACCTCCTATTGTACAGTWCAGTTGAATACACTTCAAATGTAGCACAGTCCAAAAGATATCATTTATAGGAGGTAGCTCAAGTACCAGAAATAGTTAATCAAGTTGAGCTTGGACCAACTGACTTTTCTTTTTCAACAAAGGAAATAGTAGAAGGTGACCTAGCATGAAATCAGATTACTTAATAGAAAAGGAGGTCTTCAGGAAGTCCGTTAAAATTTATAATTGCTAAAGGAACTCTTGAAAAAAATGGAAGACCCTTAAGAGATGTCTGCATATATCTATAAATGATCAGATATTTTGAGAGCAGAGGACAATGACTGAGAAAACATTAGCTGCAAAGGCAGCTTCCAGAGACTTTCAAGATACTATTTCACCTCCAGCAATAATTGAAAGAAACTTCTCTGGCACCATGGATAATTCAAGGAAAGTTCTGTTCACTATCCAGATTTTTGAATTTGCATGTGAATATAAACAATTTCCAAACATGAACTGCACCATGCCTGAGAAAATACATGCTGCCATGGTTCATAAAAGATGTMATGTTATGTTTTCATGGTCATATTTGAGGGAGTAGTACAAATATTAATAAAATCTATATATTTTTTTTGATACATTACTTCCCACCACTGCTCTTGGTTGCAACATAATAGGCAGCAAGAGCTTTCCCGAGTGAATTGGTTGCATAATGGCTTCACTAACAAGAAACTGCATCCAGGAACTGGATGAGGATGTCCGATGAGCAATGTGAGAATTTTGCTTATCCATTGTAAAATATCTAGGAAGAACCTGACATCTGAACCAGATCCTGAAATGAACTCCAGCTGGTGAACAGCCTCCACATCTTCTCTGATGTGATAGAATGAGAGCTTATATAAAGATGATCTGTCAGACTAATGTCCCAGAAGATATGGATTGCTCAACAGAAATGTAAAGTCATGCTAATATTTGGAAAGAGATTTATCCACTATTTTCCTCTGTATAGCAACTGCAGTAGCAACTGCCATAGAAAGTAAAAAAGACTAAAAAGTGGTCCAAGAGAAGTCATGCCAGCTACCTAATAATCTGTGAAGTGAGAGGAATGAGGAACACCATCATTTATCTGTCATATCATGACAGGCTTGACTGCTTTGCAGAGTAACAGCAGCAAAGAGTACCAAATTGTCAGGATCACAGAAGGCAAATACTGTGGCTGTTACTCTGCAGCACTATGGAAACACCAGATCTTGGTGCCGGCTTCTTTGCTATTACATCAGAGATGGACAGGAAGACACTGAGAGCTGTGAATGCAAAATACAGGGATGGCTCAATAACTTTCCCACAGAGGTAAACATTGATGGTGAAGGAGAAACTAATGTAGCTCCATGCTGGTCTTGTGCCAGTGCCAAAGACAGGGAGTTGTGCTCTGCAATGCTCTTTGTTATCACTGGCTAGGTTCAAGCCACCAGCTACATACATTCACTATCCATGTATCAGGCTTCCATGATAACTTCACAGCCATGACAAAGCCATGACCACTCCAAGAAAGGAAGATTTTCTCAAGTCAGATTTCTTAGGGAAAAAAAAAAAAAAAAAAAAACCCCACAAACAAATTAGCCCCAGTTTGGTCAGCCCTAGAGGTCTTCAGGTGCTGAGCACTGTGTTGAGCAGACAGACTTGACAGGTTCTGGTTCATGGCATCTGGTGAGGATGCCCAGATCAAAAAACAAACTTGTACACTTTTAAATCCCAATTTCCCACACATTTTACGTCTATGGCAGCTAGAGCATCTACCATTTATCACYGAGTCACAAAGAAAACTCACAAGAAGATGGAGAACATAATTTGACAATCTATACAGGAACAAAAAGAAGCTTTTACAGAGGCCATCCAAGATGAGGATGAACATTTCGCACTGGTGAAATTTCTGTTTCAGTTCTAAAGCTAAGAGGAACTTAAAGATCTCTGGCTCTGTCTTATATGGTCGCATACTTCTGTCAGARAAACATTCATATCCAAATATGAACATAGCCAAAATCTGCTAAAGCAATTTACTTTGCTCCTAATTTATAGGCACAGAAAATCCCTCTGGCATTCAAGATTWGAAGAGCAGTTCTGAAGTTCTCCACAGAAACAGGTACAATAGGAAGATGGAATAATTACACTGAGTGGGAACATTAAATGGCAATTAGCTATTCACCTTAATTGTGCAATGTAGAAATATGCCCTTCCTGATGTTTGTTTTAAGTCTGTTTATTGGTAATCACATAAGCAGGCTTTTATTTCTTGGACTGTGGGAAGCAGTAACTATTCAGAGTAGAGATGCTTCTTGATAYCTCCAAAGATTTACCTGATTTATGAAGCTTGCCTCCTTCACTGCCAAAGCTGTGTTGAGCTTTCTGCATCATATAATTATTTATCCATACATGGATTACTTTTATTTCATATAGCTTTTAGCTCTCRATTTGTCCTTTTTCAAAAAGAAAATCTAGTATGGGTAGTTTTTAAAAAATTCCTCCAGTAAATACCAAACAGGAAGTTRCCCTAACTTTCTGCTATGGCTTTATCTTAAACTGCTTGGTTTTCTATTTTTAGCAAACTACTCATCAAAATTTTTTTGGTATATACTGAAAAGACTTTAAATTATAATTATCCAGGTGTACAGGAAAATGTAGATTTTTTTTTTTTTTTTTTTTTTTTTTTTTTTTGCAGCAAGCCAAATAACACATTCTAACAACTTTATATTATGGTATGTCCTCTTAAGTTAACATGAGGATGATTTGCTCACAATCTGCATTATTGACTGAATCTCCTGTTTTCATAGAACCTGTGGATCTTACTGATGATTAGGTCTCTAACTCAGCAAGTTTCTGGAGGGTCCTAAGATTAGGCAGCTTGATGATAATGACCCACAGATTAAATCCTGGCATGGATATTTGCTGTAAATGTTTCACAAATTYTGAGTGGTTTCCTTTATACACAAATGCCTGAAGCATTTTTCCTGTAAAAACATCTGAAGCAGGGAGTGGAGAGGGAACAACTAGAAAGTATTATTGAAGGTTCAACATAAGAAGTCTGCCTTCTTTTCTGCACCAAAATAAAAAGTATTTTAGAGTCAAAAAAGTACTATAGGGAGAAGCAACATATAAACAAAGTAAAAACACAGTCCTCATAGTAATTATTATCATACTATGTATAGAGGAGAACATGTTATACCTGTATGCAATTCGATTGGCCCAACAAGAATAATAGGTTTTAAATCTTCCATCTCTTGCTCAAATGTAGCATAGTGAAGTATTTCTGCTCTAATTTCTGTCAGAGATGGACAGCTAGCCAGAAATTGCTGTGTAGAGAGTAAAATCGCAATCAACAAATAGCCTTTTTTATGTTTGAAAAAACAAGATGCAGCAGCTACTAAATACACCAATATTATACCAATATAATTTGATTTATCTATCAAAAGCTTTCAAGATCACTGGCAAATTCCAATTATACTTAAGAGAAAAAGAAGGATTTGAGAAACATTAAATGCCTCCTAGCTTTGTGAAAACAGGTGTCAGAACAGATATCAATACACTATAAATTTAACTACAAATAAAACAACCAGAGCAGAAGAAGTTTCCTAAGTACTTCCCTAAGCAGAACTTCTCAAGAACAGGAAAGTTCTGCAACTCTAAATGGCTGCATTTTGGAAATGCTATGCAACAGGAGACCTGCATACAGTATATCTATATGGCATTGAAAAGCAGTACATTCTGAAAGCTGTTCTCCCATTTCCATTCTTTTGTCCAAGAGTACCCTGATGGGTGGTGGGAGGATTAGCACAGTGTTAGAGGAGAGAGGGAGAAATTAGAGCTTATGTGCATAACAACTGACTGTGTTGCTATTAAGGCTTTTTCTGTAACAGTATTCCTTTTCTGTAATAGTTAGAGCTAATCAATAATATTTATTAGATTTGACTGTTAAATAAATATATTCTTGGCTCTGCATATAATGCGCAAGTTTATAGCTCACTTAAACTGCACAAGCTCCAGTGCAACATGCAAGAGATACCAGTGCTCCTGTAGTAAACACTGATAGGATATTCATAGATCTAGCTATAAATGCTAGCTACAGTGTAGTCTATTAAACAGAACAGATAATAGAAAACTGAATTAACCTGGGATAAAACAAAGGAGATSTAGCAATCAGTCATCTCACTTTCTCCTACTAACCTTTAAATGCAAAGAGTTTTTTGTGCTTTTTTTTTTTCTCCTCCCCTCTAACACTTCTGACAATTCAACTTACAGCTCAAATAACCAAATAAATGAGTGCTGTTTTTGGATAGAGAATGCAGAACTTAATTAACTGCAGTGTTTTCTAAATTCAACATATGATGAGGAGATTAACGAAAAACAACCCTATATTAAACTCACCTGAACTTTGGCATCTCTATCTTCTGTCCACAACACTTTGTATTTCTGAAAATCCTGCAGTGCTTCACTAGCTACCTCTCTGATCGAATTCACAGAGGAGGAGAGGAGCACAACCAATTTAGAAATATCTTTGTGTTCTGCAACACCTGGATAAAAATTTCTTAGCTTTCTGACGAGTACTTCTTCAACTCCTTCTGTAAAAGGAAAATACATATAAATGAATGGACCATTAACAGTATGAAGTGATATTTCTCATCTAACATATTCATGTCCCAATGATGCCATTCAGTGAGTCTATTTGCACAGACTCATTGTACAAATGACATGGAAAATCATGTACTTGCCATGTTTGTCTACTTCATATTCATTCGTAGTGTTATTTCAAGACAGGCTTTACGCACTAGAGCAAACAAACTTTCTACATGGAAAGAAGCATTCTCAGTTCTCCAAATACAATTTTCTTCCTCTGTCATGAGTATCTATGATTGTAACTACAATACGACAAGGCCTCAGAAATTTATTACTTTTTCATTCACAAATTTTAAAAAGTTTAATTGTGTAAATCCTTTCAATCAAATAGTACAAATTTCTTGAAATCTGACATGCTTTGAATCAATATGCTTTGTTATTCCATTTAGTGACATCTTCAAAGAAGAAAAAAAATCATATCATTCAAGATGCAAAAATAAAACTTGTTGTGCTGGGGCTGTATTTATGTTACAAGATATGGAGCCTTTTGAGCCTTGTCTGAAAGAGGATAAGGCTGAATAAAGAGAAGGAATGTGAAAGGACAGTCCAGAAATTCTTATACATCCTTCATGTGCAAATACACTTTCAAAAGTAGTTTAGACATTTGTAACTCCTAGTCCAGTGTTACTGCTGTTGAGAAGTTCTGTCTCCTTTAGCATCTCCAAGTGCAAATTAAATAAAACACAATTTATCATATCTCTCCATCTTTGAGGAAYTGTTAAGACTATTGGGCCCAATGTGGAGGTTGAGCCCCGAGATCTAATGAGCCCGTTCTGTCATAATAAGGGCCCAAGTGGTTTTGAAGCAGGTTGAGGAAATGTGAGCAGGAAAACACTATCCTCCTGTTCTGTCTGGGGACTGAACCCAAGTTCAAGTTCTGTTTCAGGCTTAAGACCTTTTCAGGGATCTGGTCACTAGAAACAAAGTCTCAGATTGATCCATTCATGCCAGTTTGGATAAAATTCATTGTTTAAACACTAATATATCTCTCTATGTCAACGATGGTCTCATTTAGAAAGTAACTTAAAAGCGAAGAAAAATGGGCAATTAGTGATTTTATATGTTGACAAAGTAGAGAAGAAAATTATTTCTATCTGATGAGGACGTTCTTCTGCCACTCTTCTATACGTTAATTAGAGATTAAAACTACAGAAAGACGAATAAAGCCCCAGTTCTGCACTATTAGAAAACAAACAAACAATTAAAAACAAATTACCCCACCATATACTCCTACAAAATGTTAAGGGTATCCCAAAGGAATCACAACATCTTGCTGTGCAGATGATAGCACAGATCATTTTGGCACAGCCAAGCATTTAAAAACATATGACAGGGAAAGTGTATTGGAGGTTCTACGGATGCTAGTAAAGCATTTGGACAGACACTTAGCAATAATGCTAAGAAAAAAAGCATCCAAGTACAATGCCTGCAGGGCTATATGTCGTGTGAATATTCACATGGACAGACATTCAAAAAAGAAATAAATGAGTTGCTCAAGATTAGAAAAAACTTTACGATGAAACTTGTAATTAAGTTCTCTTTCTCTAAAATCCAGACCAGTGGACTAATCATTGCAAAATGAATTCTTTGAGACAATAATATTAAATGCATAGTGTTTTCTAATTAATTAATATTAATTTTCTAATTAATTTTCTAATTAATATTAATAGGAATATACCCAACAATTACAGCCTTTGATGAAAAAAATAAAGCTAGGAAAATAAAAAAAAAAAATCACCCACTGGTCCTTTTAAAACAAATGAGTATATTCATAAATATTTATTAAAAAGTTCAAATAGAAAAAAAAAAAAGACTTACTTTCTTCTTTTTTGGCTAATTTTCCCGTTGAAGMAATATGTCGTGTACCTGATTCTGATGTTAAATTAGTTTTTTGTAAATGTCGCTGTCCCCAGTGAGCCACTCCGCGACTTACTTCCAATGTTAATTGAATCATACGATTGATGGCTTGCTGAATATCGTCTAAACTAGGAACCATTACCTATTCAAAATAATTTAAAATATTATAAGCATTATGGAGATTTTTTTTAAAAATAACACATTCAGTTGCATCTAAATCTTTGGTTCTACTTCAATTTTGGTCTTATGGTGAATTGCAGCGATTGCCCCAGTCAAGAAACATTTTACAAAAAAACTAAATGCATCTATCATCTCTCTGCAAACATGTTGCCTTTTTTGTTATTTGCACACAGAAATCTATAGCTCATCACCTCTTTTTGAATCTTCTCATCTTTCATTCAGTTTTCTTCCTCCTGGTCCTCTAAATTTCTACTGATATGACTATACAGCCAAGCTGATCAAAAATGTTGTTCATGATTTTTGTTACACAAAGAATTTAAACCAGACAAGGAACAAGATAGTTTAAAAAATAGATAAACATAAATCTATTCCTAACAATTCAAACACTAAAAATGAGAGGGAATTGTATTAATTCTGCAAAGACCTCAAATGACCGGATTGCMATGTAATTGCTGAAAGACACAAGAACAACAACATAAACCTACCAGGCTCTATAAATTCCAGTAAGAMATTAGGACTGTCAGCACACTGAAAGAACCAAGCAATTGTCCTCTGCCTGAATAGATGGCAGTTTACAAGAAGTGTTCTTCTGGAMATGCAGAAATAGTTGTTGTACAGTATATTTTACCTTAACTAAATAACAACATATCACTTACCACATTAGGAATAGCCAAATGTACTTCTGCTTTTAGGAAAGAAACAATCTCTTCAGATTTGCTTGCACGAACAAAAAAACTTGTTCGTCCATATGTACTTCTGCTGAAAATAAATTTGAAGTATGCCATGAATACTTCACTGTGAAATGCCTTAAAATTATCTTACAAATATCATTTTCAGGTTCCTTTACTGGAGGAACCCTCATAGATAATTTCTACATCAACGTATTAGCTACTTGACATCATTTTCAGAAGCTTGATATTTAAAGGGTTTAAAATGAATAGTATAATAAATAAAACACATCTCAGAGTAAACTATTAATCCAGTAGTGAAGACCTTAGAGAAATCTCTATGAAAACAGAAGTGTACACATATATGAATCTTGCATTATCATCAGGAGTGTATGGGTGATCTTAAACATGTGATAAATAACTCTGAGCACACAGCCATGCTTGCAGAGTTAAACTAAACTAAGATGTACATATAGGCAAGCTGCCACATACAAACTAGAATGGTCATTCAAGTTCTGGTTCTAAGTGTGAGACAAATACACTATACCAACTACATTAACAATATCTTAAAAGAGATCCCAGAGGAAACCAAAGGGGAATTAACAAAAAAGAAAAAAGGTGCAGGCAGAAGGAAAAAAATAGTAAAAGGAAATTTCCTTTTATTGTGTGAAAGAAACTGGAACTAGTAATATAAAGACGCAATCCACAAAAGTGTGATTCCAAAGCATTACTTCAACAAGAACTGAAGGCTTACAGGTTTTGCTTGAGTCAAGGAGTGTTCAAAACTGTTTGACAAATAATATATGTGCACACAGAGTGAACTATTTGTATTACTCGATTAATGTAGAAATAACAGTATTTTGATAATATTGTTGAAAGAATCTTCCACTTACAACTTACCTTGAGACAAATATTCTTTTTTTAAGAGTATCCAAAGACATTCTGGTAGCTTTGAGGAGACTGTCTAGCAGCTGGTGGCTGAAATATGCAACCATTTCTTTACATTTCTGTAATAAATAAAATCCCCGTTACAAATTATTTTGTTCAGACAGGAATAGAAGTTTATTCCAAAAGGTTWCAGTTAAACAGCTTAGTTCTTTTCYGAAGGGATTTATGCTTAAGCTACATGAGAAACCCAAAGGGAAAAGTTAAGAGTAAAATAGCCAAATGTAAATGAGGAAAATGCTTTTACCTTTAGCAAAATAGCTAACAATAAATGAGTAAAAGTTGCATAGAAAAGAGGGTGAAAGGCAAAAAAGTTTAAAGAAATTGTTTGCCTTATTCAGAGACAAAAGACTGAGTTCTGAATGTTTGCAAGAGACAGAAGAAGAGTAATGTTGGGCTCTCTGTATCTATATAAAAAAAACATGCAAAATGATACAATAATTTCTGACTGTACTAGATCAAAACAAAAAAAAAAAAAAAAAAAAAAAACAAAAAAAAACAACAACAAAAAAAGAGACCACTAGGAACAAAACAACAATGCAACTTCATTGCATTACTGCATCAATACCTACAAGCTCCAGTAGTCGTCTCCGCTTCCACTTCCCCTCTGAAGGAGATGGGATGAAGAAAAGCTTTTAAAAATAAAACTGATCTTCAAACTCACTATGTGGCAAAGCTGTTTGATGATTTTTAAGTGAAGTATGATGTTTTCATGTGACCTCCTCTTGCAATGTAGGCATTCAGTTACCAGAACTCAATTTTTATTCATTTTTACTAGTTTGATCATATTTTTTAATTTTCTTTTGTCATAAAATACCTTTTTAAAGTCATCTTCTTTATCATCATCCTTGCTGTCATCACCAGGACGAGCTACAGAACTCTTCTCCTCCTCCTCTTCATCATCTCCAAATGCCACTCGCTTTGCTTTCACTGTAAATTAAAAAATAYATTTTGTTAGATGAAAATTGTGTCTGCTTACAGTCAGATCATTATTGCTCTTTACTTTAGTAGCAGCAACTGTGTCATCTAATTGGTTTATTTCACACAATAGTGAAGAAATTAAGAGCCCAGCAGATGAGCCTCAGTCTAACAAACATTATGCACTATCCATACGTGTCAAGATAGGTAGGTAGAAGGAGATATATCAACTGAAAAAGGCCAGAGTGCAATATAAGCCACATAAAACACAGAAACATATCTTTTATAAACGTGAGAAAAGAAGCTCTATTGCTGATTGAGCTTAAAGATATATTTTTTTTCCTAAAGCAGAAGATCTTTCTTCAGCCACAAACAGATTGCTAGAAATCTTAGATTTCCCCACAGCAATGGGTGACCAAACACACTCATCAGCTATGAGTACTGTACCCTGGCAGCTGATGCTCAACTGTTTCTGTGTTTACCAAACAGCAAAGGCTGACTTTGAATATAGCAGTATATATTGTGAGGCAGTATGGCAGTAAAGTCACATAGAGACAGTATCAAACACATATAAAGCTGAGAAGAAAGAAACACTGTGCATATGCATACACATACACACAAACACACACACAAACACACACACGAGTTATAAAAAGTGGCCAAGAGAAGTATAAGTTACTTTAGAGGCCAAAACTTGGAAACATTAACTGAAGGATGCAAATTAATTCTAGAACCTTCACCAATAGCAAATTACCTCCTAATTTCATAGACAACTGGCTTAACAGTTGTAAACAGAGAGAGAATCAGGACATAGGTGGAAATATGAAATAAGCCTGAAGAAAACTAAAGTCAAATTTGATGCATACTATCTAAATAGAACAAGGAATACTTTTCTTAGACATAAATATCTACCTGGCAATGTACCTTTTTTTGAAGTTTTCTTAGAGTATTTAATTTCATAAATTGTTTCAAATACAGAAACAAGTTCTTGAACAGCATCTTCAATGTGCATACTTTTGTGATTCAGTAACTCAGCACATTCTCTAGTGTAAAGCTGTTAAATAAAAATATAAAAGAATTATCTAAACAATAACCTTCTCTCTATTCTTTTCATGGTAGATCAAAATACTTCCTTGAAAACTCAGTTGTTCAGACTGACACTGTTTTAAGAAAGGAGATGGTTTCAATGAAAATTTCAAAAGGAAAATAGAGAAACCAAATCCCAAATCTATATTCGAAATAATAAAAATAAAAGGTTCTGCTACACTGTTATAAAAGTAAAAGGTTCTGGTATTTTTCAAGCACTGAAAACAGAAATGAAGGCACAATCTGAAATTATTAACCCTTTCAATTGCCCTTATCAATTTTATTTACTTGTACTCTGTTTGCAAAAATATAAACAAAAACACCAAAAAAAAAATCTAGAGTTAAATTCTCAAATAGACTTATTGGAAAGCATTTTTTTTCTTTCATCAAAAAGTTTGTGTAGTTATTCATGGAAAAAAATGGCTGCATATGTCCAAGCACCTTCATACACAGAGAGTATCTAATGGTAAAGCAGCTGTGTGCTCAAAAATTCAAGCTCAAGGATGTAAAGTGGCACATACCTCATTGCTGTTCAACATCTCGTCTACTTTAGTAGGACCATCTACTGGTAAAACAATAAGAAGAGTATTTGATATTTCTTTTAATATCAAATCAATCTGCACTTCACTTAAATCATTAACCTAAAAACAGAAAATCATATTAGCATCATACTGTCTTCTTTAGAATTATATTATATATACAGTATATTCTGTAGAGAAGAAAAAAAAAAGTGCCCATATAGAAAAAGTACAATAGCCTTAAAAGGTAGAAAATCCTCTTAAAATCCTCATTTGAAGGAGCAGGACAGAAAAAGAAAGGAGGTAAAAACATGAACACAAAAGACTTTAAGATTAGAAAAAGAGAGGAGAAAAAAGTGATAAACAACACAAATTAGACCAAGTATAGATTAATTCACAATATGAAGAGCAGCATACTTGAAATAATTTCTCTAAACTATCATTTTTGATCATCATGAAACATGTATACCTTTTTCAAGAGCTGTTTATACATATACAGAACTTCATCAACTTCTTGAAAGAAACTGTCCAGTGTCAAAGAAGACCACGTCAACATGGTAAGTCCTTGCCTCAACACAGCTTCCATCTAAGCATAAAAATTAATTACTTCATAAATGAAAATAAGCTTAGTAGAAGTGCAATTTAAAATAAAAAACATTGTTATTTGAACCACTGCTGTCACTGATGACAGAAAGTGTTCTGTCCACATTTTGTAAGGGCAGTTTCAATTTTATGAGAAAAGCTTAGAAGAAAACTACACTATATTTATGTTTGGGTTCTATGAGAGGGATGTTAATGCTTGCTATGTTCTCTTTCCACAGCTGTCTAGCATGCCTGTCCAACAAACCTTCCCCTTTCTTTCCAGGAAAATATCTATTAGCAGACACCACTACTTCCAGGAATTAAAATTAAAGTTCACTGCCACATCTTACATTTTATATTTTAACCTGCAGAGATCTCATAGTCAGTAATTTATTTGTCTTTCAATTTCCTAATGACATTTTTCATTCCTCCTTTTTTGAGTCATATCTAGCTTCTCTCCAAGTTTTATTATCCCATCTRTAATGATTTTAAACACCTCCCTTCCCTACTACTTTCCTGACYGAATTCTTGGTTACCCCCATGGTCTGTCTCCTCTGGATTTCTATCATCTCCAGAATGTTCTGCATGCAGTTGAAATTAGTCTCTTTTCCTGTTTCTGCATCACCTACACCAATATCCTTCATATGTCGCAGATTCTGTGTCCCCAAGGGATATAGGACTTTCAGGAAAAGCAGGTTCTGTACTACCACCATGTCTTGAAAACTAAACTTTCCTGTCTCTCTTGCAGAAAATCSCTGAAATTCTTATCACGCACTCGAGAACTTTTCACTGATTTTCACCACTAAACTGGTGACTACTTTATCCCTCTGTCTTTTAAAAATTAACTCTTAAAAGCAAGGACAAATTTGTATCTCATATTTCAGTACACAATGATTATGCAGTCACACAAATTTATGCAAACTCTTCAAACTTCTGATGTTAGTATTTGTAATGAAAAAAAAAAAGAGCTAATTAGATCAACTTATTTCTCCATTCATACATTTGTAAGGGTTTAATTAAAAAAGAAGTGTATAGGATAGGCATTCTTCAGCTCCCATAAAATGGTACTTTTAGTACAGTAGATAACATTTCTGCATCACTGAAGTGACTAACAATTCCCATTGTTAATAATTTTCTTCAAGCTAAACTGAAGACCATCTATACTGAAATAATGCTAATTTAGTGACACATCAAAGCCAGACGTGTAGATCTCTGCTGTACATCCATCCTATCCTGTTCTGTTGGTATTACCTCTCATAGACTTTATTCTACTGCATTACACTTTGAGAACTTCAYAAGGGATTCAAAAGAGCAAACTTTATGCAATTTTATACTGGATCTTCAAGATTTTACCAAATTTCATGAAATTTGCAACATACCTATCTCTCTAAATACTTTAAAGTTTACACTATAATGAAGTTACTTCAACTTCTTATAAAATGTATTCAAGTTTACTTAGCAATACTAACCTTTTTCATTTTTGGTGCCATTAAGTTGACAAAAACAGTTGGTGTTTCTTGACACAGATCTTCGTAACATTGGAGAAGACCCTGTTGGTTATTAGATAAGGGTTATTTCAAGAATATTTTAACAGCCTAATATACAAAAAAATGGAGATAGCAAAGGAATACTGCTGAAAAAGCTTATTAAGTGTAGAAATTTACATAKGCAGTACATATCTATGTAAATCATTTTTGGAAGGTAGTAAATATTTATCATTTTACATTAGTAAGGAAGAATGAAAGCAGCTTTCATGCCATACATTTCTACTCTCTTTGTGCAGTGGCTATTGTGCTCGAGTCTCACATGTTTCAGAGGAATTCAATAACTCTTGTACACAGAAGTAACTCTCAGAGTAATCATTAAGAACAAGCAAACAGAAAGAGAGGTTTTTTAATTAAAAGGGGAAGAAYGATCATTATTATGCTTACCTCCAAATACAACTTATTTGACTTCAGGTTATTTTCTATTTTTACCATCCTTTTTGCCTGCTCTGGTACTTCCAGACCTAACTTTATCATACATTTAGTCTCTCGGACAATCTCAGGAATTTTGGGGTCAAAATTAATGAGGAACTTCCCAGTTTTAGGATGACGCACAAGCAGTGTAGCTTGTAATGCTGTAAAGATAGTTTTACATTAATTACTAGTGTAAGCCATTGATTCTGATGCACAAATTATTATGGAGCACAAATTTTAGTATTTTTGTATAAGGAAAAAAGAAAAGAATCTGTCTTTCAAAATGGCTTCATGTYGCTTTTAATTAAAGAATCAACTGCCTCAGTACCAGTTTTCTGCCACATATACCTGATTCTCATGATGTGGACAAGCATCAAATGCAGCATTATTTTGGCACAATTTTCTAACTCAAGTTAAGAAAAAAAACATTAACTTCATTTTCTAGGGATCTGACCTGAAGATTCCAAACTTAATATATGCTCGGTATCTTACAGGAAGATGTTCACTCAGAAGATGAATACTTAGATGGAAATATTCCAGAAATTCAAAATGAAATAAAASGTCAAAAAGCAGAATTTTTAATAAGCTCTGTTGACTATATAACAAATAAATAGTGTATATTTAAGAAATTGAACACTAAGGGCCTGGAACTTCTTTCATTGCATTTCTTCAAGTTATCTGGTGAACAGTGTTCTGAATCTACAAAACTCTGCATTAAAATTAAGTTTCAAAGCCATGCAGGAACAGCCATTTGTTTTATCAGGCTTCTTTATTCAAACATGATTAATCTGAATTATTGAAGGGTAAAGATTGAGGGTTAAAGATTGTCAAATTTTGTTTAGGTAAACTTAGCATTCAATAGCAGTTACCTATTTAATTACTTACCATACTGTAACTGTGAAATTTCCTTCACCCATGCATTATGATAAAGTATTTCAAATTCCACCAAGACATATGAAATTTTGTTGTATAATCGAACAACTGCTTTACCTTCTGCACTTCTCAAGATATTTGAATTTTTCTATTAAAACACAGTACATTAAAATTAAAACTATATCAAAGGAAAAGGGTAGCATTACTTTTCTTTTGAGTTTAACAACTTAATTAAGTTTCACAATATTTAAGTTTACAATATCACAACACTTTTGTATGCAAAACTCTAAATAAATGACGTTCAGTCTTGGGTAGAACTGGTCATCCATTTCACTAGGAACATAGCATATTAAAGGTATTACTCTTATACACATAATTTTTTTTTTTTTTAACAAGCATTTTTACTTCATTATGTTCCAAATTTGAATCATTAATGCTTGATACAGTTTTTGACACTTTAAATATAATTTGTGATATTGTTAACTTAATGCTATTTCCATCAGTCTTCTTTGGTGTAGATTTAGGTGATGATTATGCCCAGCTAAAAGAAATATGAAATGAAAAGTCTCCACTGTATAGAAGAAATTAAACAGGAGCCCCTGAATACCTGGTATGAGAACTATTCAAGCATTTCAAGAAATATTACTGCTTTAGTAAGGCAAGATTCTGATTATTCTGATAAAGGACTCTGTATTGGAAAACTAATAAATCTCCAGAGCCATAAATGCCAACATTCACGTGGGCCGTATCGATATTCAGATGTATGTTAAGGTCAGTATAAAACAGACTATCTACAGGCAAGCTGGTGACATACAAATATTCAGGGTTCTCTGTATATGAGAAGTTATTACATCAAAGAGAAGCCAGTATGGTTACTCTACAGAAGTAAGTTAAAGACAGTTCACTAGTTAATAGAACATGTAATATTTTCTCATGTTAGCTTACATGAAAATAGTCGATTGGTTCACTTATCCTCCTGAAAAGCTGCCTGACCCATAGAATTTTTCCTGCTACAGGTGGCATGTTTCGAGCAAGAGGCGGGTCATCTTTCTGAATTTGGTAAAGCTAAGGAGAATATAAACATAGAGAATAAATAAATAAACAAACAAACAAAGAAATGTTGACTGTTTTTCTCCAGTTCCATAATGCTTTCCTCCTTCTAAAYTGAACGTTTTTATGGAGTTACAAGAAAGTCAAAAGAAAAAACTACTATTTCCTCACATGTTACTTTTCTAAGATATACATATTGATGCCACTATCATATTTTGCTGTTTCTTAGCTGTGCTTACATACAACAGGGCCTTGAGTATACCAGTAGGTTCTCCAGCCCCTTCCATGCCTCCTAGGAGTTGCGCTGCCTGCATTGAAGACCAGGCACAACGTGGTGCAGCCCTGCAACTTGGGATCAGCCCACTGTGAAAAAGCTCTGCAAGGAAGGGTTGTGAAAAACCTTGCTTCTCCTTTGCTTGCAAGCTGTTCTCAGCTCTGACAGTCAGTTAATGAAATAAGCAAAAGAATAATACAATGTTTTCATATTAGAACTTTTATTTTAATATGGTGTTTACTGAAGAGGAATAAAATACCTTTTTAGTAGCTTCAAGTTCTGCTACGTAATGCTGAAGAATACAACCAATTGTACGCGCTATTTCTTCTTGAAGACATGGCATTCTCAGATTTTGAAATCTGCATTGGATTAAATTAATTAAAATCAATACAAAAAATAGTATTTTTGAAAAAATATTCTGGGCAACAGGAATGTTACATGACATGGGAGAAGCACAAATTTAGAAAACGCTTCTGGAATTGAAATTTTGTACTTTAAGTTCTACCTTGCTTTTTTGTTTTTAGATTGTTCTTAATATTTTCAACATATTTACAAAATAAACTGTAATGACATGGAAAAATATAAGAATATTTTGATGCACATTAGAAAACTAAAAATCCAACCTTCTTATAAAAACTACATGGTAAAAATACCAGTAATGAAGAGTTCTTAATTAGTTTATTAATTCTGAAATTAGCTAGTGTATGGTATAAATTGTGCTAATCAATCATTCCAAATTACTTTAAAATATTTTAAAATGTAACTGCCAATACCTTTGAAGTAACTGAAGKGCATTCTGTGAAGACAAAATTCTCCCAAAACAGGTACGCATAAAGGTTTGTATTTGCATCTAAAAGGCATATAATTTAGTACAGTTTTTCTAGCCATATATTAGCATTTTGAAGTATGATAATTACTTAACATAATACCATTTAAAATTTTTATTCCTTAGAGTACAAACTAGCAGCCTTAATTGTTTTATGTTGAATAAATATAAGTTGCCTAGCAACAGCTAAGTAATCTCTTAAAATGCCAAACAATTAGCAAAACAATCAAAGGTTAACTTATTCAAAATAATTTTAATTTAGTTCCAGCCAAGATCTAACCAAGTTACAGACCAAATCCATCTAGTGGAACTTCAGAGTTTGCTTTCAAGAAAACAGGCAATGATCTGATTTTTTTTTTTTTTTTTTTTTTTTTTTTTTTTTTTTTTTTTTAAGATATAGGTGTCTGAAGCTAAGGATCTTTGCATATCTTCAAAGGCAAAACAAAAAAAAAAATTAAGTAAAAAGCCATTATAGTAAATTTTGAATTCTGGAAGCACATCTTAAATTCTAATAGAAAGCACAAAAAGAAAAACAGCATTCTCTATTCACAATCCAAAGTCTCATTGGCATCCAGGTTGATACTGATCAAATAGTGATTTTTCCATAACAGAGTCAGTATTATCACCTACCTCTAAACCTTCAATTTTTGCCATGAAGTCCACAAAATCCACATCAAATTCTGTTTTCCGTGGATCAAGGATGTCATACTGTTTCTTTTGAACGCTTTGGTAGATATTTTTGAATTTTACTGCCATAATATCTATCCCTTCAATGGTAGACATACTCAGCGCAGAAAAAGTTTGCACAATAGTTATCATCTCTGTAATCTGAAATATAAGAATCAGGTTCATGCTCCTAATAAATTTTCTACTTATAAACTAAAATCTGAGTAGACTAAACAATAACCTTTCAGTCCTTTCAGACTCAGAAATGGTAAAGATTTTTTTTTTTTTTATCTTCCCTTCAGTTTTCACTGTTTAATGAAATGGTGTAATATTGAGAAAAAGAGTTAAAAGATGCACTCACATCAATGATATGAAGAGTTTTCACACACACAGAAAAAAGTACATAGTGAACACTGCTTGTGTGTGTATGTATACACACATACATAGATGCACACACCCATATATTTTTGCACGATATGGAAAAACGACAAAATCTCAGCATTTTCACCATGTGAATACTGCCCTATTATCCTTCTCTTATCCCTTCTGACCTTATTCTGCACCTAAGAGCACCTGGAATCTTTTCCTTTGGCTCTACCAATGCTAGTTTAAAATCCTTTCATCAGGCTAGCAAGCCAAAGGTTAGGACCACACCAAAGAGAATCATAAGAACAATGTTTGGTGGTAACAGGAATTTTAATCATCTAAGACACAGTTTGAAAAGGCAAAAGCAGGATATGTAGTGGGATATTTTTCCTTTAATTTTAAACCTCTGAGAAAAGTGGCCTAAATCTAGATTAATTAGGTAGCTAACATACTAACAAAGAAACCAACAAATTCAAAGCAAAGTAATTGACCAAAATACTGGAATAAATTACTCTGTGTAGGTGTCTAGTATCTCAATAAAAGTTGCAAAGATGGTTAGGAACATCTAAGGCTGAGTCCATCTCCTAAGCTTCTTTGGAGGACCCAATTTTCTCTACTACTAAGTGCTTGTAGTATACTTACTTTTTCTAATCTTCTACAAAATGCTTCAAATTTTCCAAAAATGTACATCTCTGACACTTCAAATGACTTTTCCCCTAGAGTTTCCAAAATCTGTTGTCTTGTTTTATGAAAGCATTTCTGATATTCTTTCAACAGAAGAATGCAGTCCTAACAAAGGAACAAATACACTCGTTATGCTGTGCTTATGGGTGAGAGACTGGAGAACAGTCACCCCAAACTTGCTGTCATCACAAAGCAGTTAGTCATCAGGGAGGGAGTTGAGTGTCAGTAAACTACTAGCAACTGTTTATGTACAGTGTTCTCCTTCGTASCAATATTTGTAACGTATTGACATAAAGCTGTATAGTTCAGTTAAAAACATAGCACAAAAGGAGAACTGGAAGTTTTAGCTCTTGAAAGAGGTCTTGTAAAAGGTCATCTTGCTACTTTTACAGTATTCTCATGCTCTAAGATCCTTTCAATGGCTTCCCCTCTGTTTTCTTTTAATTTCCATACTCTTTATTCTGCCTTTGAAAAATCACAGAATGGTTGTGGTTGGAAGGGACCTCTAGAGATCTAGTCCAAACCCACTGCTCAAGCAGGGACACCTAGGKCACACTGTTTTATTCCTTCCTACAGAGCACTCTACCAGGTCCTGCCTTTCTTTCTTAGGTAATACCCTTTTAAGGTTTTGTTTATGTTTTATTCCATATTACTAATGAGGCTGAAATAAGCCTCTCCTTGTGCATCATACTTTACCCTGCATCTCCCAAAACTTCCCCATAAACCTGTTTTATCTCCTCTTCATTCAGCTTTATTTCAATTTCTTAAAAAATGCTTACTGCTCTTAATGATGTTTTAAATGTCCTTTTTATTTTTATATATTTATTAAATGTCTTTGCATTCATTACCTTCAAGTACAACTCAAAATAACATAAAAATATATATTTAATATCTGTTTCTCTTCTAAATTTCCTAAGATACAAGTTTGTTTTTAAACATCACTGACTTAGGGGAAATTTTTAATCACATTAAGTTGTAGAATTCTAAATAATAAATATCTGATTTCAGAGCTACCCTTCACTAAGCAAGCCATTATCTGTAAATAGCAATAAATAATAATTTAAAATACGAAAAAATAAAATACAAACCTTAATTTTGCTAATGACTATTGGTGTCTCCTGTTCCCAAATACGAGACAAACCACCATCTGTAATATATGCTTTACAGGATGTAACCATTTGATTTGTGACCTAGTGCAGACAAATGTAAATAAATAGATCTGAAGGTTATAAAGAAATTCAGACAAAWCTGCCACATGCATATCTTAGTACAATCAAAGCTCATACAGATTTTACCTGTGGGAATGATACAGGCTAAATATTACATATGCAAACCAAACATCTGATAAAAAGTCTTAAAATATATCCAGAAGTATGATCGAGTGTCTAAAAGGTATTTGTGAATACATATAAAATTTATAAGCATGGCCATGTAAACATATAAACACAGCATGTCACCAACCATTACTCAAGAACAAAGATAAAAGTTAGCTAATCTTCACTTCTGGTTTTGTCGTCACTGTTACACACTGTAAACAACTGCCACTATACACRGTGCATATGTAGCTTTATTTAAGCAAAGCATTTTAAAAACTTTCTATCCTAGCAATATCCCTCTGCCTTGGTCTCCTACAGTTATGCAAAGGAGAGAACATTCTTCTACTTCCCAACTATAGAAAACCAAGATTCTATAAAGACAGAGATAGAGRATGTGAATGCAGATAGAGGAAACATCTCAGAGAATGTTTTTTAATCCATTAAAAAATATGGAACATATAAACCAATTCTCCCCATACATCTGTTCTGTAGGCAGGTCTTAGGAGTCTGTGAGTGAATGAAAGACCAAAAAAACACCCCACTTCAGAAGCAGCTCTAATGCAACAATCAGTGAAGCTCTAAGCTGGAATCTACTGTCATCTCTAGGGATCTTTAGAAAGAGGCCCATAAAGCAGGATGTGGAAGAGAGAGGAAAAGCTCCCTAGTTGAAATGATCATATTGAATTCTTACAACATAAAATGTCACTTCACATTAAAAACTATGGTGCTGTAAGGGCTATAGTTTTTATAAAAAGAAAAAAAGTGGTGCAATGGGGACTATCAATTTCCTTATTTGAGGAGATAGCCAATCGAYACATTTATCAGTCAACAGACAGAAATAGGTTGTCAGAGATTCAAAGAGTTTGCTAGTTATGGACAGAAGGACAACATTGACATTTCTATTGCTATCTAACTGGTTTTAATTTGAGGTTTAAGTTAGAATAGTTTGGGATTCAATTAATCAACTTTTCAAGGACGACTTGCTTGTGAAGCAGGAGTCTTTTCATCTTTCGCATCTTTTTGGGGAATAGAAAGAATCAGATTGACAGCCTTCTGCTTAGTTATGTCTTCAAGGCTGATACTAAGAGAATTTTAAGGAGTCCGTGATTTAGTGAAAAACTGAGTATAGGTGTCACAAAACTCAGAATATAAATATTTAAATGTGCTCATTCGAGAATATCAACAGATTTCTTTCTGGAACACAATCCTCTCCTCACCAAAGTACTTCCTTTCTGTCATAGACATTGACTATTGCTTCTTTTAAATAATGTCCTACTGATTTAAATAAAATTTTCTTCCCAGCAAAATTGTATTGTTTTTTATAATGATTATACATAATATGTTTACCTTTATAAATAATGACGTCATTCTCTCAGAAGTATTGTAATATCTTGAAACACTGTGAATCATTCGTATAGCATTTATCAAATTTTGTATTCCGTGTGTCATAGATATCTTAAAGCAGAGTTGAGAAAAATGTTACTTTTCCAATCTCAGCATTTCCCATTTCGGAAAATCTAAATGACATTTGTCTTTAAATCATATTATCTGATCCTCAAAATTTCACTGCATTTTACCAAAATATTTCTTGTAAAAAGAGTTAATCATGCTCATAAAAAAAAATATTATTTTGATGATTAAAAATGAACACCAATTTAAGCAATAAAGGTTTTGTTTTTCAGCTCAAAAGGAGGTATTTCTCTAACAGCTAACAATGACCTTCCTTCAGTAATACTTTGGTTTTCCTTCAAGCAAATCAGTTAAATACATGCTGTGCAGCTACATTGTGATAACAACCATTATAAGAAATGTTTCATTCAGACAATTCACAGAACTCATAAAGTAAATGTGATAATGTTCATTTAATTAAGCATTTATGAGTGTCTAATTCAATCATGACATGCGAAGCCTAAATCTTTCACACATTTTGTATTATGACTATTTATATCACTGAAATCAAACTACRTCATTATAGGCATTTTATAACTCAACCACTTCTGAAGTATTTCCCMAAAATAGTTAGCAAAGATAATCCATTAACAATACCCAGAAATGGTAATGAATTTGCTATTTTTAATTATCAAGTAGATAACAAACAAGTCTTGGCATTCTCATAAGTGCAATTTCAATTGTGCAATTAGAACTGATTACCCTATGTAGCCCGCTATGTGCAACACAGTGTCTTCTAAAGGAGGTTACTGGGTAAGACCTTTTCATTTGGTAACTGATTGCTAGAACAGAGGGCTCAGTTCAAAAAATGAATTTTACTAAAAACATAAGCAGCACCCAAATTATGTGATACATGAGAGGAATACTATCTGCTTAAAAGCACTGAAAATATTGTTTTATGTCCACAGTACTTAGGAATCAAGGCTACCAACAAATTATCCATATTTCTTTAATGCAGATATGCATATAATGCATATAGACTGAGGATRCTTATTAAAACTCTTGAGTACCTAAAAATGCGAATATCATAAGAGGCAGAAAAATACCTTAAGTTCTCTAATTATTACCTAATATCCTGTATATACTACCTGATTATTCTGTATTAGTAAAATAAAATGGGTTTCTACCCATTAATTTGTTTAAGATAAGAAGAATTTCATCTTACTAGTGCCGATGAAGCAGCTCAAATCTGATCCACGCTTGACTGACTTTTATAGTCTAGTACTTGGCACCCTCTAGTGATGCAGTAGAAAGTCGAAGATAATCTGCTTTTTAGTAATCCTATTTATCACRGTCCTCTCTCCCACTATAGCATACAATATCAGCTCTAGGCTGCATATTATCACAATCTTTGCTTTCCCTCAGTTAAAACTTCAAAGTATGAAAAATGCCAGAAAATTCAAAGAAAATACAATACTCCCTGACAGAACTAAGGGAGCAGGTAGGACCAAAACAGAAATAATTAAAAGTGAGACAATCATTTTTTTTGTCTAGGATATTTCCTCCTTCCACCTACAGTGCAACAACCTTTTGAAATATTAATCTATTATAATAACTATTAGATAATATTACTGAGAAATCAATGTAACATTTTGCAACCGGTTTGCATGGACATATTCAATTTTATTATAAAGTAACACTGAAAAAATGTCCAAAAATACAGCCTAAAGAAGAATCTCTAAGRTATTTGGGGAAAAATGGGAATTGGAATTCAGACAATCTGATACTTCTGCAAGCACCTTGTGCCATTATATTCCACACATCAAAATAATATCTCATGCTAAAAGAAATATCATTTAGAACCTTTAAGTTTCTTTTTTATTTTTTCCTTCTATATAAATGCAATTCTAGTAATCTGGTAAGGGCAGAGTCATTATTCATTGACACATATGTAATCTTCAATTTATACATATTTTGGATCTTTTTTTTAATATAAACATATATCTGGTCTTAGCTCATTTTAAAAATTGTATTTCAGGACTGACTGAGTTTATTTGTTCATATGCACTTATATTATTAATAAATTATTGATATTATTAATACATACTTCAAAACACTATATTTTAATGTAGAGCATAAAAATATAATCCTTAATTTTAATATTTAACTTGAAAATACTTAGAAAAATATTGTGAAGCAAATTGAAAGAAGTTTCCTTTCACCCTCAAGTCTGTCTTATGGACACTCTTTTTAAATACTTAAATTATGCTCAAAGAATAATGAAACGTATACTTACAAGATCATAGTTATACAGTGGTTGACAAACTTTTTCAAGTGTGCATAAATACTTCACRTTATCTTTTGATTCATTTGCTGCATCTGTGATTCTGGCATCTAACTCTTGCCACATCTACAGGGAAACAAACAAATATAAACAAAAAAAACCCCAACAATTTCATACATTGCAAACTATTTCTGACAACTTAAATCTTTGTGACTTAAACTTTAAAAGGCACTGCCAAAAAGTGCAACACAACTTACTTCTCTTGATAATATTTTTGTCTATCCCTAAATTTCTCATTCTTTCTCTCAGYATATTAAGCGCACTAGAACAAAACCTAGATCCCTCAGTCTTAATTCTTCAAATAAAATTTATTGTAAATGCAATAAAAAAGTAAAAATTGCAAGCTTCGTCTACTATGGCCAAAACCACAATAAAAAGAAGAAAGAATTACCTGTAATACTTTAGAATGTGCAACATTCAGAATATTAATGACAGCTTTGCAGTTTGGTCCTTTGATCTGCTCAATTATAAAATTAAATTTAGCAGACATACATTTCCAATGCTGTAGTTCAGTCAGTGGACCTGAATTATCAGCCTCTTTCCTCATCTGTTCACTCTCAATTAGAACCTGCAATCAATTTGAAAATAATTAAATGTAAAATAGTGTTTGTATCCCTGATTAATACTTGCAACTCTGTACAATTAATAATTATCCAGATGTCCTTATTTTCAAGTTAAAACTTTCTTGTAATTAGCTGTAATTTTATATGTTATCTATAAGGAAGAAAACCTTTAATGCTCCATATAGCCTGATTTAAGCCCAACAGACTTCTAATAAATACTCAAACGTGTCCATGCATCAGTCTAGAACTTGGTGCAGAGACCCTTGAAACAGCATTTGTCCGGGTGTGGGCTTCTACCTGACAAAGTGCAATGTACTGCAGGTGTATCAGCTCAAACACAGAAACAACAAAATGGCATGCTCTCACAATAGCAACTATTATAATATCAGAGAATAACAAGTAGGAGTCAAACTAATGTTTTGATATCTATATTCATTTCTGTAACTGTTGTTAAAGGTCAGATACTGTTTCAGTTTCGCGGTATACAGTGACTGACATGTCTATTGTATGTTATAAAGAACGAAAGAAACATTTTTAATAAATTAACTGAAGAGAAGCAAACTTATCACATAGTAATAGTTCTGATGTGGAAAAATCCCATAATTCAGAACTACACTTAATCATATTGTTAAACTGAAATCAAAGCAAGTAATGCTTATGTTCAAATGCTGTCACCAGCTGTGCTGGTAGAGGCATATACTTTTTTTTTTTCTTTAATAAAATGTATGGATCAAAATGCACAAAATATAACTTCACTTTTAAAAAGCTAAAGAGCTGTTTTAAGAAATTTTATACAATTTCCGGTAATCTAAGTGTCCTTAGCTGTATGCAGATTAACATGCAGTCAGTTCTTACATTTATTTCATTTATATTATTGTTCTTCTGAGCTAAATACACTAAATATAGTATGACCTCATAAATAGTATGTCCCAGGTTACACAGATTCTGCATTAACAGAGCGAATTTGATGCTTGATCCTGGAAATCTCAGTTACTAATTTCTTTAATAACTAAGAAAAAAGCTACATATAGGAACACAGGACAAAATAAATAAACAAATAACAACAACAATCACCCATGCTTGGCCTGGTCAGAGATCATTCTAGCCAACAGTCATACCTGTTACTATGACTGGTAACAGAAACTTAAGTAACACACAGAATACATCTAACAATATTTAGGTCATCTACACCAGCACTTTTATTCCTGCATCCTTCTTACATTTCTGTGTTAGCTGCTCAGAAACTATTATTCTTAATAGACTGTAAGATCCTAGGAATAAGAGCTGCCTTCTTTCTGCCAGTGTAACACTTGGCACATCCAGGCCCAGATACAGTTGCAGTGTTAACTGATTTCAGGCAAGTCTCACGTGTCATTTATAAATATCTATCCACATTCAGGTTGGCCTGAAACATTAAGACAACAACTTACTCGTTCAATTTGCCTATACCATATCATAAGCACTTCCTCCAGCTGGTGAATCATCTCAGGATTATCAGCTGCTGCAGTTACTTCCTCAAAAGACTGGAGTTTAGAAAAATCAATGTGATCTACTTTTTTCAGCTCAACTGTTCCTTCGATGCTTATTCTAGCACCTGAAAAAAAAAAAAAAAAAAAAAAACAGAAAAAAATTACAATACAGGATGAATTATAGACACTAAAATTTGTTTCTACAACTGTAAGCAACTGAACTTTGGAAATATATGCCTGTAATCAGTTTATTTCATCACTAGAGCCATTTTACTGCACTTATATAAGATATAAAATACTTTTTTTAAATCCAGTGCATTCTTCTTYGGAAAAATCATCTCATACCCAAGAATGGAAATTCTTAAGTGGAATATTTGCTTCCTAAATGCAATGCTTACCTTCTAAAAATGCAAGGTATCTGTTAATTGTTTCCACAAAATTCTGTTTGTCTTTTGTTTCTTTGGTCTGGGTTAAAGCACCCCAATTGTTTGTTGCAAGGATAGCCGGAAGAAATATCTTTTCTATCATGTTCTTAATACCACATAGGAGTCCTTCAGTGGCATCCAAAACACTAAAGAATATATCCTGTATTAAACAGAATGATCATTAATAATGCAGTACCTTTCAGTAGTTTTATAAAGGCATTCCAATTTTGCCTTAAAAAAGGCACAATCTGTATTAAATAATGATATCTACAAAAGCGGTTATGTTTGATAAACATATTGTTTTGAAATAAAAGACTGAACACAAAAACGATTCAAGTCTGCCAAGTTGTATTTTTCCAATTCCAGCTACTTCCAAATAGCGTGGAAAGTCTGGAAATGTTTTAAGTAGTGTATAGCAAATAAGAACATTCTAAATGTCCTCATCTCAAACTACATGCTAAATAATAGACTGTAAATAATGAAAATGCTCTGAATATGAAGCAATTATCTGCCTCAATTTTTATTGCTTTTGATCAGATCAATTTTTTCACCATACTCTGAACAACCTTTGGTTCACTATGCTCTGAAAACAATCTTTACAAGTTTGAAATACCTTTAGTAAGCCAGTGTTCCTTGAAACAGCAATTATTAACATCCTTCATAGGACATAAATACTTGCAGTTTTCCTTTTCCTCCCCCTCCTTGCTGATTTAAGGAGTTTGACCCCAAAGCAATATTTATGTCCAATACTGTGACACATTTCAATACCTGTAATATTTTTTTCCTTTTGCCTTCTCAGATCTCAGAAGGAATGAAATGCGCTTAACATGTAATACAAAACACTATAAGTGCAAAAATGAAGTTTTGTCCTAAGAGTTTGAAACCATAATAATTGTAAGATACATATTCAAGACCGATTTTTATCAGCTTGCTGTTCTTTGGACATAGCCAGAGTATAAAAATGGGTAGGTATAAATCAAGATCAGGCCCACATATATCCAGTAAAGTGGCTTACATGAAGATAAAGCAGAMAAAAAAGAAACCAAACAAAAACCCCTGCATAATTTCCTTTGTATAATTGTTATTTTCATACATTCAAAGATGCATCAAGAAGAAATGTGTAAGTAGACTTTTCTCTCCCAGATTTTGCTTTAATATTTTCCAAGCAAACATGACCCCTTTTAGCAGTCACAGATTTCAGTAACACTTCAGTTGTACTCACTGTCTTTAACTCTTCAATAACAGTAAGTAGGAGAACAACAAAAAYAACATCAACAACAAAGATGTAAATACTGACTTGTTCAGCAGAGGTCTGTGAGATAATGAAACCAAAGTGCCTCAAGTGCTTGCTGAACTAGTAAAGTTGCTGGTTCTCTCTCCAAAGCAGATAGGGTAAGGAGTGTTTGCGCAGTTCACGGTGATATAATTTAACATACAAAATGACAGTTTACTAAAGTTATAATGTCACAACAGTGAAACAAACAAATGAAACAAAAATATCTACTTCTGTCTCTTTAGTTTTTAAATTTGAAGAGAGAATACCTCATGTATAGTTCTTGCATCTATAGGGTTTTCATTTGTACAACGAACGAAAAATAAGCAGAGTCCTACAAATTTGTCTGGTGCAGTGTCCACATACAATTTCATCATTTTACTTCCTTTTACAACTCCTGGAATTATTCGACCACATTCTGCAAAGAAGTTCACAGGTGTTACTACTTTAAAATGTAGAAGTATTATTAGGACGATTAAATATAATATGTGAAATAAAATACAACATAAAATTAACTTATTTTCTTATTTGTGTGTGTGTGTGAAAAGCAAATTTCCTTTGAGGCAGAATCCATAGCTATAAGCAAACATACAATTAAAAGTCTACATTAAACATGCAACATATGTCTCACAAAGCAATTGGTGGACCATTGTACCGCAAGGAAAAGTAATTTGCTCAGTCCACCATCCTGGGATCCGCTGGAGCTTGAGGTTCCTTGTATGGTTCACTCTCACTCACCCTATCAAAGATGTCACACATAACTGAGAAAAAGAAAAAAGGAGGTGGGTCATCATTTCAAAGCAGGAAGGTACTTCGGAAGGCATAAGTGCAGATGCAACGACAGTAGAAAGTGGTGCAGTATTATAGATCTTTAATGACTGATCAAAAATGTAATAAAATCAGTATACTCTAAGAAGAATTAGATTATTACAGCAATCTTAATTCTAATTTTTTTGATTGTTCACCTTTCAATTTCTACATCATTCTCATAACTGAATACGYTGTTTGCAAGGCCCTTTAAAAAGAAAAATTTCTCATGTGGCAGCATATTGATGCACATAATATTCATCATCACATCTGCAGCCTTCAAGTTGACTGCATGCATTTCTGTTAGTAGGTGAGGAAGTAATTAGTAGCATGACACACAATTTGCCATAAGGTTTCAGAGATTCCTTGACAGCTCAAGAATGGTGGGAACCAAGATTCTGAAGCTTGGTATCCAGATTGTGCAGGGATTTTATTCCATCACTGCAGATCCTTCTGCTCATTTGCTCTAAGGAYACTGACAGATTTTCCCCCATTTACACTAGCACAARTTTCATGCTTTCCACTTTATTTCCAGATCGTGCTGTTAAGATGCCATTTTTRAGGGTGACATACCATTCCTCTCGCAGTCTAACAGCTTTTCCTTTTCACATCTCTCCTAATCTAGACCGATATGTACCAGATTTGAATCAAAGTTGGTGCTTGATACCAGTGGCATCRCTGAACTGAAGATTTCAGTTCCAGTACTGGTTCTAAGAGAAAAGAATCACTAACCCTTAGCTGCAGCATGCTTGAGGAATTCTCAAGAGACAGAGCGTGCAGAGAACATCTATGCAAAAGGGTAATAAGAGGATCAGACACCCTCMGTTCCTCTCAAGATATAATCCTATGCAGTTCAATTGTTTCATRTTTTATGAAAGGGAATTATAGGCTGCTATGAAAGGAACTATATATGCTTACAAATACATTAAAGATTTTAGGCATAAAAATTCATTCTCTTCTGAGCATGTGAAAAATGAAACTTTGAAAACATTTTTAACAAAAGGCAAATTCAGGCAGTTTTGTGAGAGTAGGTTCTGCTTGAATATACTTGGGGTATAACTCCTAAAAGAAAAGATTGTAACTGATTTAACAGCACAAAGTACCTTAGCTTTTTATAGTCTTCTTTTCAGGAAAGGCTGAAATGCTTCAAATGAACATTTTCTAAAAAATTCATCTTGAAGCCATTATTTGAAATATTAATTTTCAATTATGATACGCAAAATTATGAACGAGTAACAGGGTTTTGAGGAAAAGCATTAAAAAAGATTAACAATAGATGGTATTAAGTCTGCCTGTATTCATATTGTTAAAAAATTACCTATCCCAGGTGCATCTCCTTCTTGATACAAAAACTTCAGGGTTTTACTTCCTCCTTTGGCAAAAAACATATCAAATGCTTCCAGCTGTTAAATCAAAAAGTGAATACTTGTCACTCAAAACATTACAGTTTAACACACCTTCAAGATATGGAAAAATAATTTGATTAGACAGCTGTCTTTTTGACAGCATGTAATAAATSTTTTATCCTACACTGTTGTGAGGAATTATAAAGCAAACCAATTGATCCTTCAGACATTACTGTCATTCACTGAACCTGCACAGACACACAGGTGACCTAGTTCCTGATAATTGTATATCGAATGTTTACACTTTCAATCAGTGATGCAGAAACACTGGAGGCATTTCATCATTCACAGAGATCAGTTAGGATAAAGTGTGAAGCTGGAAGTAATCAACCATAAAAACTTTAGAAGAATACACAGTAGATTTCAATAACATGACACAGCTGGCTATTACAACCCGCTCCCTACAAGTAAAATACTTGTTTCAAAAACAGCCATAATATTAAATTTTGGAATTTATTTTGGGGATAAGAAGTGGCCACATTTGGTTCCAAAATCTTTTCATGACAGTAAAGATTTTCACTGACCTCTAGAGGACCATTAGATATCACAACCAAGGCAAACAATGCTGCCACACAATTAGCTTGTACCTGTCTGCAAACTACCCAYCCTAAAACCCTACAGGTCTCTGGACAGCTATCTTGATTTTGCCATTTGAAACATAGTGCTTCAGATAGTATGAACGTGCACCTCTATACCAGAAGTTGTTTATGTATGGATTACAATTTTAAAAAACAAGTAAGAAAATTATAGCTAGGGTTTCCAAAAATCTAAATTTCCAAATGTASTAGGTCAGAGATGTAACACCCAGGTAGACATTATTTAAAAGTGATATAAATGCAGAAAGCTCAGAAGAAAAAAAAAGTAGAAGAAAAGAAWATCAAAGTACTAAAAGATCAATGACAAAAAGAAGAAAAGATTCATTTCAACAAAAAAGTGCTTAAACTTGAGATAGAGAGAAAATCAAGCTGTAATTTTGGAGCTTAARTGATTCTATAAGGCAGAACAAGATGCAAGTTACCCACGTGACTATTGTTTCCACAAATACAGTTTTTATTTCAAATGCACATTTTACAAATACTTACTGTGCGACTGCACATACAGGCCAACATTTCGCAGATAAATCTTAGATGTCAAAGGCAGATGTTGTGTGTGTGTGAGTGTGTGTGTGTTTCTCAGATATACTGGAATTTTATAACAGACAAGGAAGGACAGTTGAAGGACAGTGTCAACCAGCCCCTGTGACCTAGTCTGTATGAATAAACAGGGACTGGAAATTGGAAAATTTTGACCACAAAACATGATTTTCCATACAAGTTTTCAAATAGCAAAAAATGGCAAAAAGAGGAAAAAAAAATCCCAAAGGTTCTCAAGTATTTGAATCAATCAAACTCTGTGTAGAACAGCCATTTTCCTTAAGTGAGGGTTACTTCAAATTAAATATTTGAACTACACTGTTCATGTAAGTATTTGTAAGCAAATAATAAACAATAAATTGGGACTGTGACTATCATACCATAAGAGGCAATGTTACATATTTTGATTAATAATTCAAATTTAAATGAAAGACTTACCGAAGGATTATCCAAAATCATTTCTTCCACAGTTGTTAAGTCTAAACCTAGCCTGACACTGAGGACTTCAAATATGTATTTATATGAAGCATTAATTTTTGTTTTTCGAAATTCTCTTGCTTCTTTATATCGAGCCTAAAACATCAAACGTATTTAAAAAAAAAAAAAAAGCCAACAAAGTGGTTGTAATAATAAGCCCCCACATAAACTGCAACTACTGCTAAAGTCTACTGCCTTATAATCTACAGAACTGTGCTACTCATTTAAAAATATACAAATTTAAGAGACTAACACTATAGTAAGAATTATTATRGAAACACAGTCAACCCTTCGTATATGTCAAGGAAGAGCAAGCATTAGCTAGACTACAGCCCAGCTTTCAAGGTAGATGTATGTTATATTAAATTTCTATTCAAAATAAGTATTTCAATTTATTGTATCAATACAGAAATGTTGCTTAGCAGCTATTTAAAATTACTTAGAGTGAATAAATATTTGCAGGAAATAAGTACAGCTTTGTTTCAGTGCAAATTATTCAGTGGCATCTTCTGTTCTCTTCCTCTATTATTTAAAAAAGAAAGCTGAAGATAATGAAAAACATGAGAATTAAATTCTGACTGTTGGAAACTGATTGATTCTTTCTAAAACCTGAATATAAAGCAAAAAACGTAAAAATACACAACAAGATTAAGTTAATTTAATAAACTCCAAACATTTCAAGATCTAACGTTGGATACTAAACCTGTTTTTCTCTTAAAATTTCCTGCAGTGATTGAACTCCACTGGTGCTCCGGCGAAACTTAGACACCCTTTGGTTTACAGGAAGAGAAGAGTCTTGTAAGGAGGATAGGTTTGCTGCTTGTCGAGCCCGGCCGGATGCAGCGTCTTGCGGAGCAGTGAGGTCCGGGGCTGAATCCTCTGGCACTGCGAGGTCTTGCCCAGAGCTCTCTGCCGTACTGAGATCGGCCCCAGCATTCTCCCCAATGCTTGAACTCTCTATATTATCACTTGATTCTCCCTCCATTCTGAAATATGAAAATTACCAACCAGTTAATACTAAAATAATCCATATTTTTCACATCTATCTTTTCAAGAAGAATGGGAAGAACTGACTTGCCTGTTATACAAACCTAATATTCTCATCAATTTCTCTTTGAGCTGTTAAGATAATTTATCAGAAAATGTATATACATGCATATTACAAATGGCACACTGAAGCCAGTTACTGAAATTTAAAAAGAATTTACCATATATTTACGTATTTGTAAGGTGAATATTATTAATATATTCAGAATATTATTAATATATTCAGTTAATATCTGATTTCTTTAAAAAAATAGTTAGAAAAATTTAAACAAATGTTTTTTATATTTTGACTTGTAAAATATACACATCTACTTAGCAAGTGCACATGCATTAAAAGTTGCACAGATTTCCAACTCAGGTCTTAAAGCATTGCTCCCCTAAGCACTTACACATTGTTTTTAAACAGAATCCCCTACTATGCATAGCACTCAACACAGATCTTGTTTGCAAGACTAATGTTCTAAGCATTGAGGGTGTGGGTGATACACTTCATTGGAAACATTTAATTTTTATAATAGCACTATGCATCTACTTCATAGGATTTAATTTTATAATGTTTCAGCATTTTAGAAAAATCAGAATTTTGACATTAAAAACATACCAAGATTAAAAACAATCATGGCCAGGATTGTGTGGCTTCTTAATATACTGATCCCAAAAACCATACTGACTGACGGTGTCTTACTAGGTTCTATAAAACACATAAAGAATTCCTAGAGCCCCAGCATATAAACAGTGCAAGAAAGATTAAACCCCCGCAGACTATGACTTCCAAAAGGGCCTACATCCTTGGCTGACTGCTCCAACCAGCAGCAGGTTATACAGAAGGCAGCTCCTACCATTTTTTCTCCTTTCTATTCCACTACCACATAAATAGAGGAAAAGTTTGACTTTTCAATCCCAAAATTGCCACCCAATTCAAGGTGGCAAGGAAGCGCCTAAATCCCCCTGCCTCCTCYCATTAGGAGGCTGAGTCATCCACCTGCATTTGCTGACTTCCGTGAATCCCACTCCTAAATCTATACAAGATTGAATGTTTTATTCATATTTATTGAATGTTTATCCTAAATATATAGAGGATTAAATGTTTTATTCAGTGGTGTCAATTCTACATATGGATTGCAAAGCTAGCATTCAGGCACTATAATAATTAGAACAGCTATRCCTGAAGGCCCTACCTTTGAGGCAGGGTCTAATTTTGCCCTTTTTGAAAATAGCTTGTTCAGTCTCACAGAGGGGTTATTATTTACATTAYGCTTAATATTTTAAAATATATGCAATGTTAAGGTATGTAATTTAGGAACCTTATAAATATCTGGGGTACCAGACAGAAACAAAAGCATAGAGACTGCTATTCTATTCAGCGGGATATTACCATAAATCTTAAATATCAAGAATCACACAGTAGTTTTTGTGATGCCTCAGAGCAGCTAATCACAGGTATGACCATGTGTTATATATATATATATTCATAACATTCTCCCTGCTTCCTTTAGAAAGCAGTATACATTGGCATCCTCCCTGATTCTCCAGGCATCAGTATTTAAGCTGTTGGGTGACTCAGTTGAGATCTACCCATTCCTCAAAGAGCAGCAAGAACTCCTGTAGGCTACACCTTGTCTAGAGGGTCTGTTCATGCCAGACTACTAGAAACAGTCAGGCTTCCAGTACACCAAGGCACACATTTCAAATATGGCATAAACTAACATATGGATTCTACTTCCCTCTTGGAGCTCACACCCAAGGTTTAGTAACCTGTATTCCACACTGTGCCAAAAGCTGGCAGTATTTTTCTCCCTTGTTCTCWCAGGTCTTTGCAGATGGATGACTGTCACTATTACCAATGTTGTGGTAACAGCTGGAGGAATGCTGCCTGAATCCTCTTCATAGGAAATACGTCGTCTAAAGAGATTCAGAAATTGTGAACAATCCTTGTCATTTTATTAAACAAGCTAGGTTAGAATCAGTCTTATCCTAGGCAGAAGTGTTGATTTCCTTTCAATAGAAGAATGGCAACTATATACCTTTCAACAGAGTTTTATAAGTGCCTTCTATACCTGGATCAAACTGAAAGTCATCACTTTACATCCAAAAAAACACAAAACAAACAAACAAGATAAATACAATACAAACAGCTGCTGTTTGTCAGACTAAAAACTGTTTAACAGATGTTGAAGGGGCATATCATGGAAGTTTACATTCCTCTTATATCTCTCATTTTCCCCTAGTAGTAAAAAATTAATGTGTTTATGTGTGTGTGTCTAATTTCTGATGCATRAGTGGTAGACCCTCTATCTGACCTAGGCAGGCAGTTCTAACTTTCCTATGCTTAGATTTTCCACCTTAATGCTGAAAACCCAAGCCAAGTGCTTGAATTACAAGAAACATTGCCATTTCTTAAGACTTCTCATCAAACTACACACAAAATTCTCCTGCATTGCCCAGACAACAGCAATAACAAAATAAAAAGCTGTGCCAAAATGCTAGAAATATATTTTCTAGAAGAGAAATGTGTTACCGAGTCAGCAGTTAACAATGACTCTTGTCATTTCCACACCTGACTCGTGTCACTTTCAGGCCCAACCGTTTAAAGCAGCAGCAAGGAGACAGCAGGAAAGCTCCAAAGGGARCCAAGCCCCTCTTTCCAGCTGCCCAAGAGCTGCCGAGGTTTCCGACCTCTACAGAGCAGTCTCCCGTGGAGACCAGTTAAATAAAGGCACTCCAAGCCTTGCAGCTTCAAGTTCACCGGTTCACCTCGCTAAGGAAAACAGCGAGGCCRGCCCTACAGCCAAGGAACTACTGCAAAGAACCAGCTCCGAGAAGAAAGTGAAGACGTCCCGGGGTAGAGCACCAGGATAAATGACTTCTGACTTTCCTCTGAAAACCTGAACCGCTTTAACGGGCGCCTCGCACCAACCTGGCCGCCGCAGCAGCGCCGCGCCTCGCCCCGCCCCTCTCCGCACAATCCCCAACCGCCGCGGCGCCCGCGGACCGACGTGCAGAGATCCCTCCGCGCCGCCCCCGCCAGCKGGCGGGCGCTCTACCTGGCTGCCGGGACTATACTGCGCTGCGGAAGGAGCAGCCGCGGGCGAGCCGTGCGAGAACGTTAGGGCGCGGGGGCAACGGCTGCGGCACCATATGCAGTGCAAATAAATTCATGTGTATTTGATCTTAATCTGAGTCCACAGCTGCGAATAGTATCCCCACTACTTTTTTTTTTTTTCTGAACTTCCCTCCAACTTCCAACTTTCGCCTATCTACTGTTTAAAGTTAAAAAAAAAAAAAAAAAAAAAAAGTAAGCCCCGAAAGCAGAAACTTTTTCTGCCGTAAGAATGGTAGTGAACACAAAAGAGCTTTATGTAGCTACTTAACGTAGCTCGGGCAGTCGATTGGACCCTTAGTCCTCGAAGCTCTCCTGTTCGTGGAATTGCTTAAAATGGCTGTTTGATACCATGTGTATTTGTCCAACTGTATTGTTAGTAAAATAGCGTAATTCTGTACCACGAAAACCTGTATCTTCCACACCAAAATGCTCGACCATTTTAGTGTGGAAGGCATAGGCATCTGCAGGCATAGCTACAAAGCAGTGCCACAGACGTCCTCCAAACCCCCGCAAGACGGAAACGGCGCTCAGGGACCATTTGCAGAGCCCGCAGCCACCCCRGCGCGCTGGGGTGTTCACGGGCAGGGTTTGTGCGCTGGGGCACGTACGGATAGTCAGGGTGCAGGTACAAGCAGGGGGCCGGCGGGCAGCCCCGCTCCGTCCCGCCCGCCCTCGTCGCGCCGCCCCGGGGCGGGCGCAGGCGCCGCCGCCCCGCTCCGCCCCGCTGCTTCCCGGCCCGTGGCGACATGGCGGCCCCGGCGGAGCTGCAGGGCCTCAGCGACGATGCYGCGCACGGCGCCTGCTCCGAGCCCGACCCCAGCACCAAGGTGGGCGCCGCGGGGGCCGCGGGGGCTGCAGGGGCGCCCGGGGCGGCTCCGCGGGGAGCGCGGCCCCCGCTGCGCGTTTAATCGCAAAGAGCGATTCTGGTGCCAAGGCGTCGCTGAACTTGACGAAAATGAACCCCCCTGCCCGGTAAAACAATCAAAATAAGGATTTTTAAGAGCAAAAATCTTTATGTAAGCTCAGCATAAGCCCTGAGGCCTGCTCACAAGTGCTCACCCTGCTAATACGCTTGCATACAAGAGCAGATCACGGGTATAACGTGGATCACGTGTATAACCATGATGATTATTTTTTTTTTCCCCCCAGGATTTTATACTGCAGCAGACAATGTTAAGAGTAAAGGATCCTAAGAAGTCCTTGGACTTCTATACAAGAGTTCTTGGAATGACGTGAGTGAAAGTTGCATGCTGTAATAAGCTTTGCTTGTACTGGTGTGGCATATTCATCTAAAACCAAAAGATTGCATCTACTGTAATTATACTAATTGGTCTAACTACATGAACAACCCTGGCCCATCAGCTAATGCCAAATTGGGTAACCCGACAGCCTTTGAGAACTTCACAGCACTGTTAATGTGTAAGCTGCAAATAAACAGTTTGCTGTGACTAGAATTTTCTTTTTTTCTTAAGTAGGTCATTAATTATCAGCATAATTATCAAGTCTTCTCAGTGATGGCAGTTGGCGAGGACTCCCCTGGTCCCTCTGGTCCRACTGTGGTCTCGCCCTTAGCGATTCGCAGACGTAAGTGGCTCCAGGCCRCTTCACTTACTTCCTGGGTAGCAGAGCTTGGTACTTGGTAATTACTGCACACTTAACTAGCATACCCATGCTTGGTTTCTTTGCTGGCACCACAGATGCACAGTCTGATTCCACTTCCTGCCACTTGGACCTCAACACACAGATGTGCACGTAGACTAGAGAGTTCTTCACCCAGGAGAATAGTTAGGGGAGAAATTTAAGAAGAAGGTAGGATGGAGAGTGCTGTGAGGCACAGGCACGGCCAGGCAAGCACGCTGACCAGACCTGTGTGACCAGTCCCTGTTTATCCCCGTATCTATGTATGTTTCTCATGTCAGTCCCAAATGACCCAGATACTTTCTCCAACTGTCATTCCTCCCTTACACATTTTTTTTTTTATACCTTRCTACTGAAAGTGTAAATATACTTCATATATATACACTGTATGATGATACATTGACGATAATCATTTTTTTGTCTTGTTGTGTTCTTAATTTTATCTGGTGCCAATGAATATGTTTGAAAATAAATATTCCCTTCTTTTTCCTTGGTGGCATTCATTTTGATATAGGTAGACTTAACAGTCTGCCTGAGGAAATATGTGCTAATAAATGCCTACTGAAGTAGTCAGTGGCTACTTCAGACTGAAGCCTTTGTACAAGTATTTATATCTAACTATTCAGTTAGATGTAATATGGCTTTTAAGCCATATATTATAAGATCTAAATCTTCTAATTTTTATAGACCAATAATGCATTCTCAAATGTTACCGCTTGATGGTTCAAAATGTAGCTATTTAGAAATATAGATTACAGTGAGAAAGACAAAAAGGATACAGTAATAGTACTCAAATGGGATATGATCTTGATACATTTGCTGGCTACCTTTTTGTTTGGTTTTCCTTCTTTAACTTTTCCAAAAAAATGTTACTTTTTAGGTTGCTTCAGAAATTTGACTTTCCTAGTATGAAGTTCTCACTCTATTTCCTGGCATATGAAGACAAAAATGACATCCCAAAAARTCAAAGTGAGAGAACGTCTTGGACCTTCTCTAGAAAAGCTACGCTTGAATTGACACAGTGAGTATTAATATAATAAGAGATGACATGTACCTAAAGGTGATTAAGTGTAGAAGTCCTGCTGGATTCGATACGAAATGGAATAACTACTGTGAAAACATCCTCCTATCTGTCATGTAGCCTTAAAATGTGGCTGATATCATGTATACTTGGCAAGCTTAATTTTTCTCTGTCTAGAGCTCTGTCAGACTGGTAGGTGAACAATGGTACAGAAGTGTGAAATAAAATGGAAGCAACCCAATAAAGGATTAACTAGTGCTTGCAAAATATGATCAAAGCAAACATTAAGTCAGAGAGTTTATATTAACAAGACAATTTTGTTGGTGTTTAAATCACGGTAATTGATAGAAGTGCAGAGACAGAGAGATTCTCACACTACCCACTACTTAACTCCAGAACCTGTTCATTTCACCTGATGTTCCCCAATGACTGGTAAGTCACTGACTCATATGCAGCACAACCTTCTCTGTAACTCGGAATGAGGTACGAGCATCTCTCTGACTCATTCAAATGCAGAACCTACAAGCTAGCAGAATGGCTGTGAACAAGACTGGATTAGTGCCTATGTACTGTTCCTAAGACTGTCCACAGGACCTGTGATCAGGCAATATATTTTGATAGTTGAGTTAGTGCAGTCAACAYTTGAAATTCTCTGCTGGTTCAGAATACCAGATGGTCCTTCTTAAAAGAAGCTACTTTTCCTCCTGAAGAGGATTTAGGACTTGGTCTCATCCATGCCTTTTTTCAATATTTAWTTTTTACTTCTTACAGCAATTGGGGCACTGAAAATGATGAAAAGCAGTCCTATCACAATGGCAATTCAGATCCCAGAGGATTTGGTAGGTCTCTTGTTTTGCGTGTATGTTTTTAAAGCTTCRTTTTTATTATGACTATGTTTTTCCTCATTGACAGGGGTGGAAACAGAGATTCAGATGTCTTAAAAAAATAGAAACAAACATATGTATGAATTCAGTGCAAAGGTTATTGGTATTTTGTTTTTTGAGAAAGAGTAGGATAAAAATTCACAATTTGCATGACTGAGAAAATGTTTTTACTAGATTATTTTGAAGAAACAGTACTAACCCTAGTAAAGAGGGGAACTTCTGTGCTGTCTTTTGCTCTTCTTTCAGCATATATACTGTGAAAAATCATGAATACTGTGAAAGATCATGAAAATATGTAAACAAATACATCTCAGAAAAATTAGTAGTTTTGTATAAAGAACTTAATCTTGTGGCAAGCAAACACATGCTGTCCTATAACTACACTTGCACAGTGGATTATCATAATATTTAGAGTGATTTAAGTTTGGACTTCTATTTTTTAATATGCTAGCTACCCGTTTTGAGACTGAAGGAGAATTCTGTTCGCATGCATGACTGAGACTAGCATATGAGTGGCCAGATAGAGAGTAATTCTGTGATTTGTTATTTTGAGCCTTTGAAAGGTCACTTAAGAAATAAATTTCAGACTACATCTAGCCACTTGACATTTAAAGCTTCTGAACTGATCTGTAAGCTGAGGCCTTGAGCAGTGCTAATGTTAGTCTCTACTAATACAACATTAATGATAAAATGATTTAAATGTTGAATTGAACAAATRCAAAGAAATCCTGTTATATGGATGTACTTCAAGAAAGGCAATATAGACAAAACGATTTGATAGAAAAGATTTTTATTTTCATATTCAATATATTCTCATATATTTAAACTCTTTTTAAATTATAATCAAAAAGCAAACTTTCTAATGTTAATTCCTAAAACACTGTTCATTCTGGAAATCATGTTTTTCTTGGGTAGATCCTATCTGATATGATCAATGGCATGTAAACTTTTTGCACAATATGAAATGTTAAGCATCTTTTTTTCGTAGAACACCTAGCAGTCCTTAGAGTGTACTTCATTGTTTTTACCCTGTTGAACAGGACACATTGGAATTGCTGTCCCTGATGTCAACAAAGCTTGTAAGAGGTTTGAAGAACTGGGGGTGAAATTTGTGAAGAAACCAGATGATGGTAAGCCTTGATCAGAAATTAAGCTTTGTTTGAAAAATGTTTGCAAACTTGTTGGCAAAGTTTGAGAATGCAAATTTTTAATTCCTTATTTTTAATATACTCTGCTTTTTAAGAGGAAACTTCCTAATAGCTCATCTCACCATTTAAAATATACTGAAACTATTGGCCCTATTCCCTCTTGCACAATGGGGAAAACTGATAGTAGAGAGATGTCAGTTACTAGAGTTAACTGGCCTAGCTACATACCTTCTGTATTTAGTTTGATCTTCACAAAGATTCATGTGCTGTGTTGATGTCTTGCTTTGCTATATATATAATATTGCCTAGAGTTATTACAGGATTTCCTCAGTCATGGGCCAGTTCTCACATTTATCATTTATTTGACTATTTTCATATTTAAATAAAATGACTTGGAAGATGTAACTTCCCTCATTAAAACTGAATTACTTTTCAAATTATTTTTGTTAGTATCTTTGATTCTCCTAAAATCTACCTTTTAGTCATTATTATTCTAACTGTTCTGACTGCTATAATATAGGTAGATGAGGATATTTCTATTTGACTTGTATAACTTTTTGTCAAAAATGCTTGATATCCAATTAAAATTGGTACTAGAGAGTACATAATAGTGTCCTTGTCTGATCTAAAATGTGGAAATTGGTGGTGTTCAACTGGATCAATCTTGTGCTGTTCAACTGGATTCTCCTTCATCAAGAGATCTCTTGATAGATTTATTATTGGTGCATTCCAAACAGGCATTTAGCACCTAGCAGCATACACAAATCTGTGGTGCTCCTTCTTCCCTCTGGCTATATAAACTGGATTGCTGTCCTAATAGATTTAGATAGAACAAGTAGTTTCCACTTACAGGTATTGGAACCGACCTTTTAGATTTCATGCTAGAGGGATCTAACATCCCCATCTCTCCAGACTCACAGTGCCTAGGCAGAAAATTTATTTCGAGCAACGATAGGTAGTGTCTTAAAGTGACTTTAAAGTATAATTTTACTGAGAGTAAGTAGTGACAATACAAAGATCTAACACTAATTAAAAGTGAATTTAACCAATTTTCTGACTAAATTGTCTAGATTTACACTACTCCTTATAGCAGCTAAAAGCAAAAGTTGTATTTTGCTTTTTCTATAATAGTCATATTCAGATTAAGAACCATTCATGTAGCTTTACTCTTTTTTTTTCTTTTTTTYYTTTTTTYYTTTTTTTTTCTTTTTCTTTTTCTTTTCTTTCCCTTTCCTTTACAGGTAAAATGAAAGGACTTGCATTTATTCAGGATCCTGATGGCTACTGGATTGAGATCTTGAATCCTAACCACATGGTGACTCTCACTTAGTTCTGAAAGAAGTATATTGTGTAAGAGATGCACACTGTCAGTTCCCTGGAGTGAATCCAGYATTTGTGAAATTCTCACTTGATTGAGAAGAATTAATTGTGTCAGAATCTCCTCCAAACTATGCCCTGGAACTTCAGTATACTGGAATTCCCTTTTGTTGTTCTGTGATGCCACTACAGTTTGTTTCCAATTAGGAAAATTCCACCAACTGTATTTTAGAAGTGCCCTTACAGAGATTGTCCTCTTCAGTGTTAATTTGATACTTCACTGAACACTCTCACATGTGACCAGAAGTTCACTGCATTTCACACTGTTTAGATCTACACTAAAAAAAAGCCTCCTCTAAGACCCAAAAGATCATGCTCATAACTTTTGATTTGATGAATTTCTGGGGCTATGTTAAACTTTTGTGATCTGTGGAGTTCAATATTAGGAATTTAATGAAAAACAGCATCTGTGCTGTAAATTTCTTAGTAGCAGGCATTTTAACTTGCCCCTTCTTAAGATAAGTAACATCTTAACATGAGAAAATACACCTGTAGATAATAGGAAAACATGTAACATCTTCATCCATTGTATCAGTCAGTTCATCTTATACTGTTGCACCTGTTACAAAGTGTAAAATGTGTCTAGTTTAATACACTCTTAAAACAGTAACAACAACAACAAAGTCCTTGGCTCATGGTTCCTGGAGCACTTACTCCTGTTGAGGAAAGTTTTCAGTGATGTAACTGTTGAATTGAATAGTGTAATGGCATTGCAGTTCATTTCCAAATAAAGCATTGACAAAAACAACAACTTTACCATTAACATATTGCTTTCCTAGTTGATGAAATTTGGACAACACAAAGGCTACTTACTTTGGTTCATGAATCATTTTTGAGAAGAAACCTAGAAATAAAAATACAGAACATGGACTGAGAGTAGGGTAGTGAAACTGAGGCCTCTAAGTGGAGACTTCATTTGTGAAATGTTGCATTAACTTAATGGTTAATGTACAGTAATAACAACGCTGTCATAATAATTCTTGGGCTCATACAAATGAAAATGGAAATGTATGAACTGTTACATTTGTTTTCGACTATGTTATTTTAAGAGATATAAAAAAAAAAAAAGTAAGAATTTAAATTCAGGGATTTCTATATATTCATATCTGAAGAATTCATTTTGATTTGTGTGACAATGTAGTGCATACAAAGCCAGAAATACCATAGATTTTAATTCCAGAAACTTTGAGTCATTCTTAAAACTGGATCCAAGACAATTTTTTACACTTGGAAATAAGTAAACTGTTAGCRTGCTTGATGCTGCCCATAGCTGCCAAAGCAACCATGCACTCATGAGAAGGTAGACATAGTAACTCTAAAGTTAGTCTTTGCTCTTTGTTGTATGAAACAACACTGATACTTTAAGTTGTTCTTTATAGGCTGTTTTCTAGACAACGTCTATTTACGTGGATACTATGCTTTAGGTGATGCTTTGTTAGTGTCTCATTCAACAGAATCTTTCTCCTATGTGGGTATATTCCAAGCTTGCTTTTTCTGCAAGAGTAAACACTGATTCCTATTTGCATTCTGTATTTTCCTTCTTTTGCCCTTTCAGTACTAATATACCTATCTAGTTCCCYGTCTTATTCCTGAGAGGTTGATTCCTCTCCTGTACATTAAGATATTTTGGTAGGGACAGTACAGTTGTCTTCAGTGTTGGCTGTACGGTGAGATCTGAGAGCTGAGCTGTGCGAGGTGCCACCATATGGTCTCACTGTCACCTTCCTCTTAATTGTGGCACCCTCCCACCTACCCTCCCAGCAGGCTGATTCCTTTCCCAGAACTGGCAATTATTTTCTTGCACACTGGGGTAGATTTCATGCCCATTTATTAAGCAGAATTGAGGAGCCAGTTCCAGGGTCCTCAATTTCCAGAACAATTAAATGGGGCTGGCTCCTTCTAGCAGCAATTTAGGCTGGTTCAGATAACTCATAAAACATCAGATTCTTTTAAAAAAGGTAGACAGCATTGGAATGATCTTTAGAGCACCAGTTATAGAGCTTCAACATCTGATGAACATTGTAGCATAGCTTTGGCATGATTTGTCCTTTGAAGCTTTGTAGGCTGTAGGAATAATGCCAAGAAGGATGAAAGCTACAGCAGTGAGGCAGAACACTTATTTGGTTGCAAATTATGTGCATCTTGATGGCTAAACTGTGGTTTTACATGCATTTCTTTCCTTACTCATGTTCCAAAATAGAAATTAAAAATGAAGTACAGCTGATCTGAAACAGCAGTGCTAACTGCAGATCTTTACCATTCAGCATCTTGCATTAGCTTGTGTGCAGAGGGAAGGGCTGACAACTGATTGTTACCTAAAATTAGTGTTTTTTTTTTTTTTAATTTCAACACATTGATACAAATATTTCATTTAAAAGGTTCTATAATCAAAATCTTGGCAAGCAGTTCTCATAAGCGCCTAACTTTAGAAGAACTCTTGTTTCATCTGCATTGCTCTTTTATAATGTTTCCCCTARACTTGTTTCACTAAGTACAGGCGTGACTGGCAGCGCTAGTGACACACTTGTGTGGAATCCAGTAATTAAAGGCGGGATAGCTGGGGAACGGGGTGACAGCCGGGGCACGCGCATGGAGGCAGGCGCACAAAAGCCCGTGGCTGCCTCTCAGGTTTTCCGCTTCTGAAATAAAACCTTCCCTGGACACGTTCGCTGATGGCCTTTGTTTTTTACGTACGTGGCCGATCCAAGTACTGCGATGGGAGAGGCGGGAGCCGCGGGCGCAGCCGCGCGCCTCGCGCCGRGCACTGCCGCCGCCGCCCGGCCCGTGTCAGCGACAGCAGCGGCGAGGCCCGCGCGCCGCCGCGGCTGCCCGCCCACGTCAGCACGCAGGACGGCGGCGGCCGTTGCTACGTGACGTCAGCGCGCCGGTGGACGTAGCGAGGACGGCGGGCGGAGGCCGTGGCGCCGGTGAGTCCCGTGCGGGGCCGGGGCCTCCCCGTGGGGCGAGAGGAGCCCGCGGCTCCCGGGCCGCT